AGCATCGAGCCAGAGACGTCGGGTCAGAGGCGTCGAAACAGAGGGGGCGGGTCGGAGGGGGCAGGTCAGAGGCGTCGAGTCAGAGGTGGCCGGTCAGAAGGGACAGGTCAGAGGCGTCGAGTCAGAGGCGTCGAGTCAGAGGCGTCGGGTCAGAGGCGTTGGGTCAGAGGCGTCGGGTCAGAGGCGTCGGGTCAGAGGGGCGGGTGAGAGGGGCGGGTCAGAGGCGTTGAGTTAAAGGCATCGGATCTCATGCGGTCGAGTCAAAAGTATCGGGTCAGAGGCGTCAGGTTCGAGGCATTGGATCAGCTTGAGCTGGGCCCCAGCGGGCAAACCAGGCTACGACGAGCACGCACGAAATACATGAACACCCTAGTCTGGGATGCTGCTCATAAGATAAAAACTCCGATTGCTAGTGCGTTGGTGGAGCAGCGGCACCATTTTCACGAGACTGATCAATCATATTGCTCTAACATTTTATGGTCGCCTGCAAGCCATGGATACTAACGACAGTGTACCTGCATTCCGAGTGTTGGTGCTTTGATGACACCAAATCAATCCCAAACAAGTTCTCAACAACCTGGCACGCGGAGTAGCAACATACTATACCATCTCTCTGGGCCCCACCTATCGTCCTCGCTGTCCTGGTGAGCCCTGCCCCGGCTGCATAGGCAGTAGCGCACGTCACACATCAGGTGTCGTTCAAGCAGCTCACCAAACGCGTTCGGCACCATTTCCCAGCTGGCGTCCCTGTAGTCGGCCGGTGGAAGCGCCCGTGAACAAAACCGTGGGCAGTGACATCACACTCACGCCAGGGACGGTCACGTCACTCATGTCTAACACAATGACGTCACACTTATCCTCCAAACACACAGAACAAGAGGGTGGTCCGTCACGACAAGGGAATAATCCGTCACAAGGGGCGGTCTGTCACAAGAGAGCGGTCCGTCATGACAAGGGAACAATCCGTTACGACAAGGGAGCGGCCCGTCACAACAAGGGAAATGTCCGTCACAATAACGAAGCGGTCCGTCACGACAAGGGGACAATACGTCACAAGGGCGAGTGGTCGGTTACAAGGGAGCGGTCCGTCACGACAAGGGAATAGAACGTTACAATGGCACAATCCGTCACAATGGAGCGGCCCGTCATGACAAGAAAGCGGTCCGTTACGACGAGGGAGCGGTCCGTCACAACAAGAAAACGGTCCGTTACAAGGGTGCGTTCCGTCACAAGGGAGCGGTCCGTCACGACAAAGGTGCGTTCCGTCACAAGGGAGCGGTCCGTCACGACACGGGAGCGGTCCGTCACGACACGGGAGCGGTCCGTCACGACACGGGAGCGGTCCGTCACGACACGGGAGCGGTCCGTCACGACACGGGAGCGGTCCGTCACGACACGGGAGCGGTCCGTCACGACACAGGAGCGGTCCGTCACGACACGGGAGCGGTCCGTCACGACACGGGAGCGGTCCGTCACAAGGGAGCGGTCCGTCACAAGGGAGTGGTTCGTCATGAAAAGGGAGCGGTCCGTCACGACACTGGAGCGGTCCGTCACAAGTAAGCGGTCCGTCACGACAAGGGAGCGGTCCGTCACAAGGGATTGGTCCGTTAACACAAGAAAGGGATCCGTTACGATAATGGAACGGTTCCTTCACAAGCTCCGGCAGCGTCCTAGGGCGCCGGCCTGCTCTCTGTTAACACCAGCAGAGCGGAGGGTGGTGCCGGTGGTGTAGTGGTTAACGCTTCTGCGTCAATACCCCCGCGTCTGGGGAACCAAAGGTACGGGTTCCATTCCCCGCGGTGCCCGCCCTTCCTGCAGCGAGTGCGTCATGAAGCTCCAATGACAATGACAAAGCACGAGGTCTCGACGTGTTCATGAAACACGACACGGCTCGGTTGCGGCTCAAATGCACTCACACCAGCATGCCAAAGCACGGCACTTCTCAAACAATGTCAGGGATTTACACATCAGTGAGCCTCTTTGCTTACCTTTACACATGGCGGGTACTATTACTGCTAACAGCTATTAGAAAGGCTTATAATGACAGTCTGACCAACTTTACTCAAATTTTTGTAATTGTCATGCATCTTTATTAATGCCTCCCGCTATGTTGCTCGTAATACACAAAGTGAGGCAATCTCATCGGTAAATTTTAGATCACTTAACACAGACGAGCAAAGCCACATACTGGGATGCATAGAATCTTTCTCCACACTGTCATAACACAAAACACGTTGGTGTTAAACCAGGAGGCCACCAGCATTGGGGAAAGCATCACCTCTTCGGGATAAAGATTCCAAAGTGTCGCATGTGTTTCAAAAACCCGCTGATGTTGTCCTTGTTCCTGCATCCTGGGCAATAGAAAAAGTATCCAAAATGGTAAGCCATTCTCTGAAAAAGATACGTGCATTAGGAGCCGGGATCACAACAAACTATGTTCCTTACACCTAGGCAGAAGACGGTGTTGATGGCAATATTCCGCATTGGACATTTTTTCACTTAATTAAGAAGACTCCTACACCTAGCTGCCCGTTATGCACCACGCTAATTTATGTGGTGCACATCGCTTAGTCATAGCAAATATTTTGTCCGGTAGAGTGGATGCTTCACAATGTGTTTCCACGCAGCATGTTTGATGTTCTACACGAGCGGAACTAGAAGCCCAAGTGATGAGCCATGCCATTTAACTAATCGTTCTATGTCGAAGTTCTCTGTCTACAGTTCTCTAACCAACAAGTGGTCAACATACAGCACTCCCAGCACTGACATCAATCCATCACTCTGGCACATGGCGCCGCCGCGCCCTGTCCCCCCCCCCCCCCCCCCCCCCCCCCCGCCGCCAACCTGGAGACAGGGCCTGTGGAAGAAGTGTCGGCAGCAGGGCGTCCACAGCACGTTGTACGCGTCGTCCGGGTTGGTGCGCTCGAGACAGATGCCGCAGTTCTCGCCCCGCCTCTCGGCCCACCACGTTTTGGGCGCGGCCGATGCTCCTCGCAGAACGACCTGCAGGGGCCGGCCGACGGCCGGGGTCATCCAGACAGCCACGGCGGCTCACGTTCGGCTCACGCTCGGCTCACGCTTGGCTCAGGCCCAGCTCACCCTCGGCTCACTTTCGGCTCTGGCTAATCTCGCGCTCGGCTCACGCTAGACTCAGGCTTAGCTCACGCTCGGCTCCCGCTCAGCTCACGCTCGGCTCCCGCTCAGCTCACGCTCGGCTCCCGCTCAGCTCACGCTCGGCTTCCGCTCGGCTCATGCTCGGCTCACACTCGGCTCATGCTCGGCTTACGCTCGGCTCATGCATGGCTCGCACGTCACCGTCACCCGGACACAGCGCCATCGGACGGCAAGATTACTCACCGGCTGATGTGGTCATGGCAGCTGCGACCGTTCACACGGAAGCCGTCGTGCAAAGCTCCCGGGTCCCCGGTTCCAACTCGGCGTTGTGAAGCGTACTGCAGACTCAATCACCCACAACTCGGCCCACCGCGCGTCCCACAGGATCAACTCACTTGAACTGCCCGAAGAACTGCAGCAGCCCGTTGGCCTGCACGGCGCAGCCCACGTGGTAGTGTTTCTTGCACTTCATGCTCATACATAGGCCAGAGGCACCTCCCTTGTTACAGAAATAGCATATCTGACGGGATCAGGAAAACCCCGTCACACATGCACTGGGTAACCAGCGATCAGCAAGCTATGGCTCTGACGAATCGCTGCAACTACCTGGCCTTTGTTTTTCGCGCAAGCAGAAACAGCAACTCCCATCATTTCACTTATGTAAGCGGCAGAACAAAGAAAAAACGAAACAAAAAAACAACATTTGGGGTATCTAGGCAGCTGAGTTGGAAAACCAGCAAACTTCACTGTAGCTTTGCATACGATCAGAGACCTTTTGAACTCTCCATGACACTAAAATTGAGTGTTCCACATTTACATGGGCTTTGAGCTGAAATAGCCATCTTGAAGACCATTCGGTTCTGTTCACAATCCTCCCCTTCTCAAGACCTAAGCTCATAGCTTCTAAGCCACACACCCGCAAAAATGGAGAGTTATATCGGGAGAGAGTATTTCAAAGGTACCTTGGCATTTATGACGTCACAATAATGTCATTCATCTCCAGTCGTTCTATAAGCCATGCAGCAAACAAGACCAAGAAAAATACCACCATCGAGGCGTTCATATCTGGCTTTCGTCAACACGAATTCCAGATATAGCGGCCGTCAACTGGCTGTCAATCAATGTTGTGTCAGGCATGATGATTTAATCAGCCATGACGCATCCAGCAGCATACTTACTTAGCTGAGAATTGTGTTGTCTAGAACACTGTTTTCCATTTAAAAGGGTACCAATAGTTTGAAGTGAGCTTGCTTCACCATATCAGAAGCTTTCTTCACTATCTCCAAAGGTGAAACATTCTTCTTAAGTACATACTGGCATGCATTGACACCACATTCATCAAATTCAAGGGAATCGAAGTCAAGGGCTTAATGAAAGCTGCAAGTGTGCAAAGTAGCTGCATCACATTACAATGCATAAAGTTTCCTTCGTTTTGCCCGCTCTTTATGCACCACTGTCATGCATCAGAATCCCAGTAAAATGGTACGTCCCAGCTCCGCGTCGCGTGGAGTCCAACTGCAACGTGAAGCAGTGAAACATTTTCCCCTCTCCGCTTTTGTAGGGGTTGAAGAGTGAATTTCAGTCACAATTTTGTCTTGTCTTAAGAGACGAAAACCTGGCAAACGTTTGAGCTCGGACCGAATTCTTCAACGCAGTGAACAGTTGCAACACATCGTCTTTGGTGCAATGTCACCAGTCGCCTGCTCCTCGTTGGCGCGGACCGAAAGCAGTCGGACGTCGGAGCCACATCGGGGTCGTACCACCAACATCCACAGAAACTCATACAGTGGATGTAGAGTGACTTCGACACCGACGCGCCACTCAACACCAAACTGTCACCGGAACCCCTCAAATTGTGCCTTCATTGGAGGCAGCTCCAACCACCTCGCGCCCGACGCCGCCCTCCCGCTCCACCCACCTCGCGCCCGATGTCGCCCGCCCCGCCCCGGCCACCTCGCGCCCGATGCCGCCCTCCCGCCCCGGCCATCTCCCGCCCGATGCCGCCCTCCCGCTCCACCCACCTCGCGCCCGATGCCGCCCTCCCGCTCCGGCCACCTCACCCCCGATGCCGCCCTCCCTCCGCTCCACCCACCTCGCGCCCGATGTCGCCCTCCCGCCCCGGCCACCTCGCGCCCGACGCCGCCTCCCGCTCCACCCACCTCGCGCCCGATGCCCGCCCTCCCGCTCCGGCCACCTCACGCCCGATGCCGCCCTCCCGCTCCACCCACCTCGCGCCCGATGTCGCCCTCCTGCCCCGGCCATCTCCCGCCCGATGCCGCCCTCCCGCTCCAGCCACCCCCCGCCCTCCCCCCCGGCCACCTCCCGCCCTGCCGCCACCTCCCGCTCGATGCCGCCCTCCCACCCCAGCCACCTCCTGCTTGAGTAACTCTCTGCCATCCAATGGCTACCCCTCCGTAAAGTTGGCTTACAGTGGAGGTGACTCTGGCCACCTCCGCCTTGATGTCGGCGGGGAGGAAGCCCTCGGCGCCCTCGTCGTCCTTGCCGTTCTGCGCCAGATGCGGCGAGAAGAGCTGGAATGTCACCAGACAGCTTACCATCAAATACATACAGCTCAGATTTGCAGGACCAACTGGTAGGGAATGCTGCTGTCCAAAGGCAAACAAAGCTTAAGTGTCCATTAAATAATGGCTCTTAGGCTTCTTTGCCTTTGGTTGGCAGAATACATATGGGAGATGGTGGCTGGTGTGCAAAAGACAGAATTGGATTTGAGACAGGCTTGAAAGACAGGGAGAATTTGGCTTTAGAAAATGTTTTCAGAATTGCTCTTTTTGCCGACAAAAACTACTCAAGACTGCATGATGCAGTTAAAGAGACAATTGCTTCCAGAAAGGGCAACAGGCAAACTGAAGCAACAAAGCTGCCAACCATTGGGTACAAGGAAGAAGCTGCAGAATTTTCTTATGGGGGGGGGGGGGGGGCACAGTGAAAACACATCACACCAATTTTTAACTCTTTATGGGAAGTCATCCATAGTGAAAAACAAAACACAAATCTAATTCTAAGGGGAAGGGGTGCACCCCTCCTGGTTGTACCCCTGGCAAGAAGTCAAGGATATTGTTGCTATTAACATGATTAACATTGTCATTCTGTGATGCCTTCAGTGATATAAGATAATGCTTTCATGTTGGATATGTGAAGTCATTTAATGGTGTGTGATGTCATGATGGCATCAAGTGCATGGAACTGGTTCATATGACCACATCATCCTTATCAGTCATTATGCAGATTGTTCAGAAATCCCACAGCCACCTATAGTTGTGATCATACTGTGGCATGTAGATGCCATGCTCTACAGTTGAAGCAGTGTGATGATGACCTTATATTTTGTAGCATCCTGTATTGTGGTCACAATCAGGCAAGCATGCTACATGCATAAACCAAAATGAAAATTATGCAAAATCAATAGTTTTGGAAGGAATGACCCCTGCACAACACCTACCAAGCAAAAGTGATGCGCAGACACATCACCAACATTAAACAGCTGTCCAAACTTCAACTGATCATCTTGCTGGATGCCACAGAGGCAGCATGATGAGCTCCCAGTATTATCCATGATGAGTTCTTGCAATTAACCTTGAGCAAAACCTGAAATAATGATTATGTGAGTCTGCAGGCAATGCAACCAGACAAGCTGCCATTCAATCATGTGCTGCAAGACAGAGGATTTATTACAAAAACAAATGGTGGGAAGAAAAGCATGATTGGTGATGGACTTGGTGATGACTCAGCCTTCTGCTGCTGCAAACAGCTTGCACAACCTCTTGATGTCATACACTCCTTAAATGTTATTTCCCTGCCATATATGTGCCTGTCTTCTATGAACAAGCAGAATGTGACCCCCAGCAAATACATCTATTATGCATGTCTTGCACAACATCTATATCTGCCTATTGCTATAATGCAACTAAGGCATAATTTCCATTGAGGTGAGTATCCCCTAAAAAAGGAAAAAGAAACTGTTTCTGAGGAACTATATGAGCCAGTGGGAGATGTTCTTTATATCTATATTGCTAGTTCTTCACATGCAACCTATGCAGCAGCACAGCATGGAAGCTTCACAGGACCAGTGGATGCCAGTAGATAAACACCAAACACTTTCTTTTGGATATCATATTCATTTATCAAGCTATGATCACAAGCAGCTATATTTGATAACAGGAGATGCATGACATAAAAAGCCCTTCTGCTGCAGGAACTACAAAGCAACCAATCCAAGATGTAAGCTTTCTACTGTGTAAAAAAACAACTGAAAAACATGTCAGTTGTGTCAGCATTTTTGCATCTGTACTTCAATATTGTCATTAGACAAGCTATGAATTGGCAATAATTATAAATGCCCACACTTGCTTGTTATAATCCCAACATGTAGACAACATATTACTGAGTTATCCCTAATTAACCTGCATATTAGGGTCTGAACACGGAATTATTACTGCACAATAATTATGCTGCACTATCACTTCCTAATCAAATGATTCTGCTTCTAAACAAGAGAGAAATATGATCATTTCTTGCTGCATCAAACATTGATGACACATGGATCCAATGGTCTTGCTCCTGTATCAAACAGGTATAGGTATGTACACACCTTTGTATGCTTAAAGAGATGCTACACGTGGCTTTAACCAATCAAAGGAAAGCAATAGATGCTAAAGAACTCAATTTTAGTTTGAAAATCCTTTTTAATTCATTGCTGCAATTTCCCTGTATCTTCTTAACTTTCCATGCTGGTATTCTCCATGCTGACAACCTGGATAGTGGGAAATTGACACAGAAATGAAAACTAACTACAACTACAGAACACTCATGTTAGATAATTTTCAAATCAGGCACCACAATGCATTCCACCCACTCAGCATCGCGGACACATCTTGCACGCATAACCAAACCTGTTGTCTAACACGCTAGCTGTTTCTCATGTTATTTTAAGAGATACCGCCGGTCTTCAATCAGGTCCGAGTTCTCTCCGCCCGCCGCATCCGGTCTTTCCAGCAGCATCTTGAAATGGCTCGCATTATGCTGTCCTCGCAACTGAGAGTTACCACCCCCTCAAAACTTACGAACCGCCGGAACCTCATGTGCGCATTCCCGCGGCTTTTAGAGCCGTGAACAGCGATACGCGAAAACGATGCTGACAATGGCGCAGAGTTGGAAGGACGCAACTAAACAGCTGGTTCCTAAGCTGATATATAGTTTCCCCGACACTCTGCTTTTCAACTGTTGCTTGCTAAATAGATCAACTGCCGTCAAACATTATCTATACAATCTACAGCACACTTACTCGCGCATCAGCTTGCTCCCCCATCTACGCAAACATGCAAACCAGCATGAGCGCGATGCAGAGATCAGCTGATAGTCCGTACAGTAACGTGCATAACTGTCTTTTTCGCGCCAATTTATTTATCGTCATTATTTATTCCTTGATTTGGTCGACCCTTGTCCGCATTTTGCACATTGCCAAGGCCATTGAACAGGTTTCGTGCGATACTTATGCGGCCTTGGGTAGTCTATTTGGACTTGTTAAAAGGAAGCTGTGTCATTTCTCGCATTTGCTTGCGTAGGGCCGTATGTGCTTGTGCGTTAGGCGCGTGTACACCGGTTACAACATTGTAGACAACTAAGTGCATGGAAGTGAAGTGCGTCCGCCTTGGGATGCACTGGTGTATTTTATAGGAGTGCAAATTTTTTTACTCCTTTGTCAGCAGACTTGTCTTGTGCACACTTTGGAAGGCTTAAGTTACCAGGTGTGTATCTAATTTGTGCTCAGTATGGTCAAGTGTGGCATTGGTGGCACATTAAAGCAGTGTCTCCCATTCCAGAAAACATGAGTCAAATTAGCAGCATATTTGGCAGCAGCAGATTTAGCTAATGATATCTGACTACCATTTGGATATTGCAGGGGCATCACAATCATCTTTTTTCACTGCTTGCTTGCATGGGACAGTTTGTCCTTATTTACTAAGCTTGTGTACACTGTCTAAAATGTTGTAAAGAACCAAGAGTATAAAAGTACTTGAATGTTTTTGCTGTGGGTTGCACTGTGGCATTTCATAGAAGGTCTCTCCCTTCTTTCTGTCAGTCTTGTCTTGTACCCAATTTGGAAGGCTTGAATTATCAGACATGTATCTAATATGCTTTCAGTATGGTCAACTGTGGTATGGGTGGCACACCAAAGCCATGCTTCTTGTTCTGGAAAGACATCAGTCAGTCTAGCAGCAGATTGAGATTTGACTGTCAGTTGGATATGGGGCATCACATCCAAATTTGGTATGCAGGATCTTCTCCATGTGCTAATTTCAAAAATTGTAGGTTGTGGGGTAAGATTTTGTGAAGTTCCTCATTACAGTGTGTGATATCACCAACCTAATGTTGTGGGGGTCCAGATTGCCTCCAGATTTGGCATTTGGTGTTAAAGGCCTTTCAGTACACTGACTCCTAACATAAAATCCTGGATGTGGGGTATTTTCCACACAGACTTAGAGGCTTGGTTACCTCCAAATTTGGCATGCAGGGCCTTCCTAATACATTGCTTTCAAAAATCAAAGATTTTGGGTGAGATTTTGCATAACTTCCAAGAAGAAAACTGTGACATGCCAGGCATGCCAGGCCAGGTCTTGTGGAGCATCTTGAATGACTCCAAATTTGGTTCGTGGTGACACACCTGGGTGGTTGTTTGCTTGGGTGGGGGGGTCAATTTAGCCCCCCCTGAGATTTCAGAAACTAAAAGAGCTAGAGGCACCACATTTACAGGGTATGTTGACTTGTATGTGAACTCCTTTAGGTCAAAGTTTGAGGTTCCTAGATCAGATAACATCAAACAATGACAGATTCCAGGTTGGTCTCCAAAGTGTCCCTAGAACCTAAATAACTTTTTAAGCAAAAGGTCACATGCTCATTTAAGGTCAGTGGCCTTGCTTGACCTTTTGAAGGTCATGGTGACAAAAATAGTACAATATTGCTTTTGTTTTGCATTTGAATGAGCGACAAAGGTAACATTAGGCAGTATGCCCCCCAAAACAAGATGTTGACCTGGGTCATTTGAGGTCCGTGACCTATTCTGACTTTCAAGAAGCCCACAGAAAGTGTATAATGTGGTTCCTATGATCAAATTCCTATTTCAAATGAGCACCAGAAACTGCCCTTTACAGCAAGCTCTAGAGTAATAAAACAGGTTGGTTTTGACCTTCAGCTGACCTTGATACCTTGCCATGGGTCAATGCAATGTGTTAATTCAATTGTGTTGCCTAAGAAAGGATCTCAGAGATGTATGGCTTTATCTAACACTCCATTGTTGGATCAGATCGAAAGATTTCCGAGAAATTGCATTCGCGGAAACCATGGCCTGATTTTGCTCTGCCATAGGTCTGTGACCTTACCAGGAACATTTTAATTTTTGATGCGGATGATCTGCTATTCATTTGTCTACAGCTATGCAAAATTTGGCGTGACTGCGCTGCGCCGTTCGGAAACCACTCCGGAAACACCTTCGGGGGTCAATTTGACCCCTCACTGAGCACGTGTTAAAAAGTGAGAAGGCCCTGCATGCTAATGGAGGCAATCAGCCACCCCACTTCATCAAACTGGTGATATTGCAAATCTTGTGACTTGAAATTTTTGCCAAATCCCACTCTGAAACATAGGATTTCTTAAACCAGTGGTCACAAAGGACCACACCAAATTTGAAAGCAAGAAAGGCAAAGAACTTCTCTGCAAAGTCAAACCAGTGTGTTCTGTGTCTTGTAACTCACAAGAATCCATCTCAAAGGCAGTGATTTTTGGAATCAGCATGCTAAGAAGGCCTTGCTTACCCAATATGGAGGCAATCAAGACACCTCACAATATCAACCTGGCATGTTACAAGCTTTGCAACTCTGAAGCCACACAAAATCCCACCTTGAAGGCAGTGATTTCTGGAATCAGCATGTTAAGAAGACCCTGCTCACCATATTTAGAGAAATTATGCCTAACAATTTCAAAGCGTCATGTACAACATCTTGTAACTCAGAAGTTTACAAAATCCCACCACAATGACTATTATTTTTGGAGTCAGCATGTCAAGAAGATTCTGCACACTAAATTTTGCCAAGAAGATTCTGCGAAGAATCATGATCATTTTGAAGAATCATGTCAAGAAGATTCTGCGCACCAAATTTTCAGGCGGTCATGGTGCTTCCCAATGTCCCACTGGCAGTTGGGTATCAGTCTGCTGCCAGACTGATGAATGTTCAAGAACAAGACCTCATGCAAATAGGGGCTGCCTTATTCAGAACAGGATGCTTTCAGTTCATGAAAGGGGCTGGTCAAGTCCAGATCTAGTCAAGTGACCTCATAATCCCAAAACAGGGTTGCTGAGCTAGAACCACAACTGTGTGATGTGTGAAAGGGGCCTGCTGTTTCAGAAATGGGGCATCCTGAGCTTCGATAGCACCTCTTAGTGTTTAATGGGGTCTCCCTAACCAGCAAAGGGACCTCCGTACCACTGCATTGGGCCTCCTGATCTAGAGCATGGACCACCATTTCCATGAAGAAGGACTCATGATCCAGAAAAGAGGCTTCTTGATGTAAAAGAGGGTCCTCTGAGCCCAAGTTTTGAACTACTCTAGCTCATTTATATGACCTTTTGAATGAATTTGGTAATCTACAGGTGTGAACAATTAATTGCACCTAAAAAAAAAAATAGGGGAAGCATACTCTTGCTCAACTGCCAGCAAACAGAGAGGAACAACTTCCCCCTCTGCAGGGAGGGACAGCTGCTCCTGCTCTGCCACCCCTGGCTGTCCAGTGGAAGGGGGTGCAAATCTAACGCAGGTTGTTTTCACCATGTTTCACTTTGCACTGAGTGTTGCCCCAATTTTAAGGTCTTTTCTGTTTAGGGATAATCTTGTAATTGTTTTCACATGATTCCCACCAGTCATGCTTCTAAACACAAATGTTATTGGTAGGTTAAGCCCTGATTAAGCTCACAATGGATCACAAACTTAGCAAAAGTCATAAGGAACAGGGGTCTTAGTATTCAACTGAAATTATTTAAGATAGCCAGATTTAATCTCCTCATTACCATATTGCTTTATGTACATATGGAGGGTGTTTTTTTCTATTTCTATTTTTCCTTTTTCTATTTGGGTCTATTTTTCCTCTTATGCCTGAGCTGCCTTGTATTAGTTTGTGACTGTTCACAGATCTGATCTCAGGTCTGATATGATTTCACATCTGTGCTCTAGCCGAGATGTCGCTCTACGACGACGTGGACACGGGCATGGACAAGAAGTCAGACCGGGTGCCTGGCTGGGGCAGCTCTAACATGAAGCTGCTGCAGTCGCAGCTGAAGCTGCGGAAGGCGGCCATCGGGCAGCCGCGCCGCGACCTCGTGCGCCGCGGCAACGTGCTGGCGCCCGTTATCGACCTCAAGGGCAAGCGGGACGACGACGACGTGCCGCCGGCCACTGCTGTCATGGCCATGCCTGGGGTGAGAGGGATGTGAATACCGCGGCGTCCGCTCTTTCTAGACGAGCCTAGTTTATAGAGGTGGCCAATTGCAAGACAGAGAGTCAACAGTCACGCAGCGTGTGTGTTTGCCGATGTTATCGGTGTGTGCTTGTGGGCATGTATTGGATGAGTACTGCCGTTTTGGGCGCATTGTTTAGGCGGTGGTTTGCATTTTCGATGATCATTTTGTGCCTCTCCAGCTCGGCCAAAGAGGCGGATTAAGGGGTCCTACGCAGTTCATATCGTTCGGGCCAGATTCCGATTTTAAGAATGAATATGATCCGCTGAAGCCCAATGATTATGAGAAGGTTGTTAAAGGTGAGTTTTTTTCAAATTTGTCGTGGTGAAGCCAGACTGTTGCTCGGTAATACAGTTATTCCATGATGCCTCAATTTGTGCTGAATAGTTCATGGACTGGGTGGAAAGCGCTAAGATGCTCGGCTCAGCTCACTGAAGATGCCTTTTCTCTGAAAGTTTTAAGTTCATCAGCCTGCCCCCTGTAAAGGATACAGTTATCCCTTTAGATCTGGAATGACCCTTGATGTTCTTTTCTTGTTGGCATGCGAAGGATTTACTACAAAATGTCGCTATTCCGTTCAGCTCTCGTCGAGCAAAAACTCGACCAAAGAAGACAAAGATGGCTTGCTTGAAGGACATGAACATAATTTGACTGTCTCGAAAGGTGTCCGAATTTTTCGTTTTCTTTCTTTTTAAACAGTTTTGTTCAGTGCTCATTTACACCTGAAAGTGAGTGCATGTACGTGTCACCAAGCAGATATTTTGTATTGATATAAGGGTTTGGCCTGTGGCGTCCGCTACAGAGATCCGACGTAAGAAGGAGCAGGACCGGGAGCGCGAGCGTCGTGAGCGGGAGCAGACGGCGCCGCAGCGCGGCCTGGTGGGCAACTACAGCGACGACGAGGCGGAGGAGGAGGAGCGCAAGCGCAGCAGTAAGCGGCCCGGCGGCGCGACGCAAACCGGGCGCAGTGACCACTTAAAGGCGGGCAGCATGCGTGGAGAGGCGTCAACCACTGTTCGTAGGCGGTGTGAAGGTCTCTGCGCCTAAGGTTCTCCATCACATGATTGGTTTGCGTAACGTTCTACTCGGCTAGCAGCAACGATCTCATGTCTATCGGTCGTAAACATAGTTTCAGTGTCATTTACAGTTGATAGTTAAACAGAACAGGATGATGTCGCTCGAAATACCGCGGCGTATTCGCCGTGTGGTGAGCTCACGTGATTTGATTTAAATATTATACTGTGGAAAGCTCCCATATAATTTCCTCGATGAATTTGGATGCAGCATGTTCTGTACCAGGGTAGTTTATACGCACCGAACCCATTGTAACGAGTATCAGCTGGTGTCGCTGTACCTCTTCCAGAGCGTGGCTAGTTGACTCCCCCAACCGTCTTTAAAGGCATTGACAGTGCTTGGCTGGGCTGGGATACAGGCGGTTGGCACTGTAACTCACAAGGCCCACTCTTCACACCGAAGGTCCACTTCTCACACAGAAGCACTGCCGCGCTCTGTGCTTCTCGACTCTGTGAGAGTCGCTGTGTGGGCTCCGTGGTTCCCCAATCCTCTGCTCGTGTCGTACAACTCCGCTCTGGGGCGCCACTGGCCGTTCCGGGGCGCAATGGCCGAGTGGTTGGGGCCTGGGACTTCCACGTGGGGGCCCGGGTTCGAATCTCGATTGCACCATGGCCCTGAGCGTTGGTACAGTCAATGCGGTCGCTGGCGCTCTATGGCAGGAGCGTGGCGACATGCGTCGTGTTTCCCTGTATCTTAGAAATGCTTGCGACCGCTCCGCTAGCTCGCTTTGAACATCGCCGCCACTGACTGGCTGCGGCTGCCCACGCCCACCGCACTGGCTGTGTCGTGAGCCTTGGTGTGACGCGGCGCCTGTGACATGGGACTCAGCGTGACAGGACTGCTCTGCTGCGCGCCCGCGTGACGCCACTGTGCCGTTGTGACGCGGCGCGTGACCGCCCCGCGCGCAGGCTCGGTGGGCGTGGCCATCGCGCCACCGACGGCGCTGCAGGATCGGTCGGCATCGCCTCCGCTGCTGGCCGGCCTCGGGCCGCGGCCGCCCTCCTCCGGCGGCGGTGGCAGCATCGCCGCGCAGATCATGGCCAAATACGGATACAAGGTGGGCACGCGCGCTTCATGCTGCCCAGCACATGCACAGGTGTACTGCTGCGTGATAGCACGAGTCGGCCATCACGAACAAAGCCGGTAAATTGTCCTAAGCAGCAAATGTTATAGAATACGATTTTAGTCCAAGACGTATTTCGGTAAATTTCCTCTCCTAGTGTGTGTTGGGACAGAGCATCCAAATGTCGCCGAGCACTGACTCAAATTTACTACACTTTAATCCGTTGTAGAATGGTTTGGCGCTCCAGGCTGTCATGGATTCAATGAATTTAAGCACTGTTACTATGATGATGCGTCAGCAACCTACTGGTTTACGTTCACTCGTATAGTTGAGGTATAGTTTGCTAAGTGATACCACCGTTAGCTAACAGCTGGGTGACTAACCGTTCGTCGTGGAACTCGTTCCGTACAGCGCTGGACTCGCCACAAATAGTTGGAAAGTCATAAATCGTGGAGTAAGTCATGCTCAATTCATACCAATATGTCAATCGCAGCGGTGTGCTCGAACTGCTGGCAAGGGCCGCGCTGGTCTTCAAAGCTGCAGTGCCTCCGAACACCCTGGATCAGCACCAGTGTGTCGGCCAGTCGCTGCCTGTGTGCCGCCGGCGGTGTGTGCGGGCCAGCCACGCCTCGTGTGACGGTGCTCGGGCTGTCGGCAGGAGGGCCAGGGCCTAGGCAAGGCGGGCCAGGGCATCGCGCGCGCGCTGGCCGTCGAGAAGACGTCGAAGCGCGGCGGTCGGATCATCCACGAGCGCGAAGTGCCGGGGCCGGGCACGCCGCCGGGCGCCGACCTGATGCCGCCGCCGCCGCCACCGCCCGCCCAGCCTACGATGGCCGACATTCTGCGCAACCCTACCAAGATCGTCATGCTCCGGGTGGGTGGTGTGCGCCAACCGCGGCAGGCGCGCGGCTCGTCCGAGGCAGGACTGTGGGGACTCGTTCCCGGCCGTGCTGGGGGTCTGATGGGACGTGGCAGTCCTGCCTGTCACGCCCAAGTCGAGGATGTGATGCACAAACTGACGGCCATCACAGTGAGGACGGGGTGAGGAAACCCTGTCGGCGATCGGTGTAGCCAGTGACACCCTTTCATCGGCCAAATGGTGTAGGCAGTGATATAACGTGTGGAAACGCTGCCAGTCGTCTGGGTAAGACTGGGTCCGGCGCGGTATACTGCGCTGACGCCCGTCCGGCCTCCACAGAACATGGTGGGCGCCGGCGAGGTGGATGACGAGCTGGAGGCCGAGGTGAAGGAGGAGTGCAGCACGAAGTACGGCGAGGTGGTCAAAGTCACCATCTTGGAGGTGGCCGGTGCCCAGGATGTCGAGGCCGTCCGGATCTTCGTCGAGTTCAAACGAGTGGAGAACTCAATCAAAGGTGCGTGGTGCCGCGGGAGACGCTGAATGATGAATGCAAAGAAGCGGCTGTTGGGCCGCAAATTTATAGGCGTGGTGAAAATCGAATTTCTTCTGAGTCGGAGACTTCCTCGACGTGATTGGTTTGTGGGACGTTGATTTTCTAGCAAAGCCTTTCAGCGCGGGCGCCATTTGAGGCATGATCACTTGGTGACTGAACATGGCGTGCAGGTCAGCACACTTTGTCCCGCTCCCTGTCAGCCACAAGACCCCGCTGAGACCCCGCTAGGCCAGACAGGCACCTCGTTCCGTCGCGATATCAGCTGATCCGCGACCCCGCCTCAGCACGTTGTCGGTCTGGACGGCACCTGTTTGAACGTCAGCTGATATGAACGGCACCTCTGAGCGCGCAGTCGATTCTTCAGCGCTGGTTGACCTGAACGACGCCTGTCTTTTAGTGGTGTTCGAGCCAACCACACCTCCGTTTCAGCATCAAAATTGACGCGTCCGTTCAGCACTGGTTGATCTGGGCCACACCTCTGTGCTTCGGCACATGGTTGACCTGAGCGGCTGCCCCGTTTCAGCGCTGGTCGACCTGAACGGCCGCTTCTTCGGCGGACGGCAGGTGAAGGCCCGCTTCTACCAGCAGGACCACTACGACGAGCTGGAGCTGAACGAACCGGTGCCGTGAACCTTGGCAGCCGATCGTCACCACTGTTTATCACATGTTTCTCTCATCGTCGTCGCCTGGTGGCGAGCCGCCGCCCGCGTAATACAACGGAAAACGCTAGAAAGCCCTGTGTATCTGGCGCCACGCAGAGGGGCACTGCCGGAGCCTGACGGGGGCAGGTGGTCTGCTCTGTTATCTGAATCGTAGGTTTTGAGCAATTCCACAGGCAGTTTGCATGTGTTTCCACCCATGCTGTCACTGGTGCCACCACTCGCACACCTGACAAATTCACCACAATAAAACAAAGCAGGTAGAAATTTCAAGATGTATTGCGCCAAAGCACTCCGAATCGGGTCTTAATCCTTACGCGATTGTGGGCATCGTACCAAACTCCAGCGTTCACGATCATTACGCGCCGCAGCGAGTTCGAAGGCATAGCAACCATTCCAGCCGGCTCTGTTCCAGTCCAATGGAAGTACATCAAGATAGCTCGCGCCGAATAGGCGGATCAGTTGGCACGGGAGGGACACGACATCAGTCGCACGACACGTCACCCCGGCAGCCGGCACCGATCGACCGCTGTCCGCAGTGGGCCAAATAAGTTCGGAGGAATAACTACTGTAAATTGTACTGAACGGTTTACTCCAACTATGCATGGCCTGAAATGGCCGAACGAAAAGGTGAAAACCAAAGTATTTATGAAACAACGCAGCAGGGTTAAAAGCATCACAGGTGTTTTCATGAGTCACAGTTGGATTACAAACGCCGCCAGAAAATTCTTTGAACAGGTCAGACAATTAAGCATTCGTCCTACGTACGTCACGGAACAACACTATCGATGTCTATGTGTACCTTCGTGGTTGAACCTCACTTGTAAACACACCAGTCGCTCAAGTGTAGTTCGTGTCTGAGTCGGGCCTTAGAGCCACAATGAACAGCACTCCCAACAGTTACACGTGGCGTGGTCAAAACAAACATGTCAGGCCATTCATTCAGGAAAAAGTAGTGGCAACAGCAGCAACGGACAATCCGTGGCACCAAGTAGTATAAATTTTAAACAAAGTGTGGCATGCAACAAAAACATATTAACAAGTGAAACTTTTAACAATCAGGAGAATCAAAATCCTTGTTTGGAACAGCTCAAAACACGACAGAACGTGGATTGCCAGCAGCCCAAAAGAACAACTGAGTCACAAGCCTTTTGCAGCAGGACAAGACAAGGGCCAGGACCACCCAAGGGCACAAACCATCCATTCGTGGGGTTCTGCGAGTCAGATCCGTGCGTCAGGGACGTCTTCGAGAAGCCGTCAGCTGCCCACTGCCACCGCGCCCATCCCCAGGCCCAGCCAGCCGGCGGTCCCCGTCCAGGAGCACGTGATTCGACTGGGTTCGGTTTCGTTTCTCGGGTTCCACACCCACCGGCTGTGCGCGATCGTGGCTGGCGCGAGAGCATGGTCAGCACGCCGCTGGGAGGAGTCGGCGCTGTTCGGCTTCCAGGGAATTCGGTCGGGAAGCGGATTACGCAGGCCCGCCCACGATTCGTTCAGCCCATCCATCAGCCACCTGTCGTCGGCGATCGGAACTTCGCCTGCCGGTTCGCGCCGTTCGGCGTCGTGTCCGTCGGCGTCCGGATGGTCCAGCCGCTGGCGGCCGTCGGGACGATCCGCGTCGCCACCGGCGGTCTGCTGGTCGTCCGGCTGCTGGTCGGTCAGCGGCGTTAGCCCGGCCAGCAGCAGCAGGCTGGAGGAGGCGGCGGCCGCGCACAGCTGCCCCACGAGCGCACCCGGAGAACGGGGCGCCTCGGCCGCCGGTCGGGCGACGAACACGGCCGGCGGCGGCGGCGGCGGCGAGCTGGGCGCCGGCGCGTGGAATACCAGTAGTACGGAGCTCATCAGCGTGAGGACCGAAGCCAGGTACGCCACCGAGCACACAGCCACCACCTGCCGACAGGCAGGCCGAAGGTCAGCGACTGGGCTGGGTCCACGGAAAAACAGGCATTAATGAACTGGGCCCCATTCGCACTCCCAAGCGCTGTTCAAAAGCTGCCACTCGTGACATCACCGGCAAGTGCCTCACAACAGTACGCATGCATTGTAGTACAGTCGCTCATGTGACTTGGCCACCTGTGACGTCCTTGGTCCAACCATCACGTTAGCATGTTGCCAATGAAGAACTGGGTTCGGTTGTAGCTGCATCAATGGCGAAAATAGTCAGGTCCCAGTCGCCAAACCAAATTCGCCGAAAAAAAACGCCCAATTGGTGGTGATACACAACTAAGGCGGACGAAACGGCACAGCACGGCACGGCACGGCAGCCGGCGCCTCCCACCTTGAGTAGGGCGTCGCGCAGCAGGGTGAGCGTAAACTGCAGGTTGGAAACGCCCCCGACGGCCAGCAGGTCGGCGTATGTCAGCCAGCCGCGCCGCGACGACTCGGCCAGCGCGGCGGCCGCCTCCACGCGGGAAAGCATGTTGGCGAAGCAGTCCGGCGACACGAACAGTTCCCAGTTCTGCGCGCGCCGGGAGTGACCAGTCAGGCTGGGACTGGGCGATGGATGCCGCGTGGCAAAGTGACATCCTAACATATGCCCTGACGGAATGCCATAGAGACAGCACGAGCACATGCTCGTACTAGCATACTTACATTCAAAGCACATGCGGTGCAGTGCTTAGCTGTTGGCATCAAACCCATCGCTACACATGAGATCTACGTCCCGGTGAGGACAACACCAAACACAGAGACAACAGGTATCACAGCGGTCTCCGCACGGAGATATCCGTGCCACCTAGACGTTAGAACGCCTTATACCAACGTCTCCAGCAGCAGCACACACATCAAACGCCGCCTGACGGTCGGCCGGCAGCCCCCCCCCCCCCCCCCCCCCGAGTCCGGCGAGGGCGGACGCACCATGGCGGAGAGGAAGTCGATCTCGGCTGCGTTGAGCTCGGTCACACTCAGCCCGGCCGAGGCGGCCCACTCGTCATTGAACACCTGCTCCCGCTCGCCGTCGTCGTACAAGAACTTGCTAGCGGTCAGCTGCCGGACCCAGGGGCGGGCCATCATCTGTCAGTTCACACCTGCCTGACACATCACTGGCAGCGTCCGCCTGGCGGGCGTCCGGCTGCACAAATGGCGCGCCATGCGCAGCACGGTGATTTTTTCTTCAAATATGACAACACCTTTAAAATTGTAATCATAACAGTACTGATGCAAACCCATATAACCTCACAAGATGGCACAAAACTCACAACGGCTAACACAGGAACAGTGACAGACTCATTTCGTCTCGACGCGTGGAGCGCCGCAGTGCCCGAGCGCGTACCGCGGACGTGACGAACAGCTGCTTGGGGTGCGTGCGCTGCAGGTAGTCGGGCCGGAGAACGGCCAGCCGCTCCAGGTAGACCATGGCCATTACGAGCGCCGCCGGCGAGATGCAGGCATGGTGGCTGATCCAGCTGACGTCGCGCACGTCCAGCGAGCGGAGCCGACCGGGTCGGCCGGAGAACACGCGGCTCGCCGCCGCTGCCGACGCACGGGGTGCGAGTCAGCGGCCGCCGCGGGACACACCCACCTCTGGGCGGATTCGCAGGGTGGCGCCACACATCAAGTCCGCGCAGCAGAAGTTTGACGCTAAATTTCATGAAATTTGGGTATACTACCCTCTGCCCCTCAGTCACTTTTTGCTGTCCTCAAATGCCACTAACGCTATCAACAATGCCGGCCACCGAGATGCGGGCAGTGGAAACTACTATGCACAACACACCATAACTGACCACAATTATCACAAACAGCTTAAAGAAGGCACCTTGTCACTTTTCAAGCCTGTCATGTCATACACTGCAGCTGCCTAAAACAGCCCTCATCTGCTGAAATGAGAATCCCAGTCACTGTTTAAGCAAATAATGTTCCACATCATGGCTGCCTTGAATTGTCCTCATCTGCTTCAAAGATGTGAACAGAATGTTCCACATTTCAAGATGATAAAGCAAACACCATGTATGACGATTTAACCTCACTTCAACTAGTGGTAAGCTTTTAACCAGAAAAGACTGCTCTGGACAACACAATTTCTCAGTCCAGTAATTATGCTCCACATTATGTCATTGTTTAATTGTCATAAAACATTTATATGATATTGAGGTGTGCCAACTAGCCGTGCAAAACTGTCGCACTATCACTCACTTGTAGTACTTCGATCTTGCCAAGAGATAGCAGTGGCGGTACTGGAAGTGTCTGCTCAGCCAAAATATCGTTGTATATCCCTATTAAGTTAAGTATCCCACCACTATCCATTCCCCCTTCATCCCATAGCCCTGAAATGGTCAGCACTGGTCGAGAGGACTTTTATCCAGAGACCAACAACCAACCAAACGTGATTCATGATTGAAGCTGGCATAACTCGCTTAAAATTGATTGAAAGCCAATTAATGTTCACTGCATTTGGAGATTGTGGTCAGGGACGTCAGATCTGAACAATTGGATGATAGCATTCTTCCTGGCCTTGAACACGGCCCGGCCTGTGGTGGGGCGGCAGGTTTGAATGGCATTCCTTGGGCATCATGCATGCCTGAATGGCCTCGAAATAGTGTGCATGAAGTGGCCTGCATATCTTTGTAGGCATGTAACTAAAAAATAGCATAACCTGCAGATCTTTGTAGGCATGTAACTCCGAAAAGTGGTTTTAGGGCTTGTAAAGGGCAGAGCTGCGAACTGCACGAAATTATCTTAAACAAAGCTATTTCAGTTCAAAATTCCATTTGGATGTGGAATGCTTCCTTTGAACAATTCATGCCACATGCCATAGCTGCCTAGAATTCCCCTGGTATGCATAAGACATGTACAATCATATTAACCCATTCAGGTCTCTTACATTCTCTGCCGTCCAAAGTCAAAAACACGTAACACACATTTTTCTGGAAATGAAATTATTGGTATTATTAGATTCGTCTCAGTGAGCCCCAAATTTTGACCTGGTGAGGTGCATGCTTAAGATTCAAGACTTAAAAGGGACATAAGGTTGGTAGATTCTCGCGTAAGAAGTGCCCGTAAAGTTGTCCAAAGACAAAAACGAGTAACTGGTGCGTAACTGTGCAACACGAGCCTCAATTTTCTCACGTACTTCGCTTTCAGGGTCCAAAACACGCCTCCGCCTACATACGACAACCACGATCAGTGTCAGTACTGTGTCAAAAGCGCGTATCTGCAAAGTTACACGTTTTTGTCATTATGAACTGTTGTAAATTGAGTAGTTATGCGTTCTTGCCGTTGGAAGATGTCTGTTCCTTTAAGTTGCTTCTAAAACTAAGCAAGTACGCGCACCTCCACGGGAGGGGCGGGGGAGGGGGAGTGCTGCCGTCATATTTGTGCGTTGAAGTGTTTGTCATACACTAGCAGGATAGCAGTTTTGGTGCGTTTACACCATGGGCCTTAACTACGGCTATTCATCACTAAGAAACTACCGTCATTCTGTCATGCACGACAGGTACGCCCAAGACCACGTCTGGCACTCTACGCCCAGCAGATGCTTAACTTTTGCGGAGATATCCTGGCCCTAAATTGGCTATGAATGAGACATGATGACATCCTTGCCTGGTTCAACGGAGCTCTTCAATCCGCCATACGATGCTCAGCAACAGCATAGAAAACGCATAACTGCGCGAATACTTGCTTTTGCCGAAATATGAGACGTTGCCAAGTCTCTTGTTACCACTGACAGAAACACGTATATTAGCAGATATACGTTTACGCCCACACACCTTTTTACACTGATCACTGTTAGGTTTCAATGCTGCCTTCCCATGTCAAAAAACATCTTCAGCTGTTAAAGCTGTAGTTATCTTGAGTTATTTTCACTTTTATACTGGTAGATAAAGAATTGTTTTGCCTTCCAATTGGTGAAAATTTCGACTTATTGCTTCTTATTCATGATCATGACACCTAAATAACACAAAAACAGTCTCCTGAACAGAAATGAAATTGCCAGTTAAATGTTTTTGGCTTTTGAAGGCAGTTCTGTATGATAAACCAAGGAAATGGTTGTACATTCTGAACAACTTTTTAGCCCATTCATGTCACCCACATTCTGTCTGATAAATCAAGGAAAAAGTCAGGTTTGAAGTAATAATCATGGCATTGTCTTTGTGTGCCTACAAGAACAGCTTGATCATGGCCACCTGTGCAGCTGCCTTTCCCACATGGTTAAACATCTGATTACAAACACATGATGCACTATTGTATGACAGTAATACAAAGTCTGTCATCATTCAAATCACAAGAGGGCATCAGTACAGTCATGACATTAACTTGAGTGATAGTTTTAGCAGAAGTAAACATCTTTGTGCATCTCTGAAAGCTGCACCATAATGCCAAAGCTCACAAAAGTTCAGTGTCATGATCTGTCATGCATCCCATCCTGAATTCTTGGAGCTGGTGACCATCTCATTGTACAATGAAGTTCCCCTGTCCAGTAGCATTGCTTGATGAACATCCATCAACCATTGTAAAAAAAGAGCAGTGAGTATTTCTTCTTATTGGTCAACATAAATAGCCAAGCCTCATCATAAAAACACTACCAATGCAAGAGAAATGCTAGCTAAAAGTGGGGTCATGATTGATAGGACAATTGCTCACAGTCTGTAACAGCACACTGTCCAAAACATGCAGGAGGGTAACAACAGCACAACTCAATGTAACAGATGACAGAGTGATGATAAATATCATGGTATGTCGAGTTCCATGCCACTCTATTTTCTTTTGTCAGGTCAGGTTACAGCTCAGTTGGGTCGGTTAAATACTACCAGGAAAAAACTGCTAACAGCATTGGTAAAATTGTGCTATCATCGTTACACAATGTTGCCACTTTGAGGAAAACAATTTCTCTTTTTAGAATTGGGATATGTTTTCATTGTGAGGCAGTGACCATGCACGTTAAAATACAGTGCGGGAAAAACCTCCGTTTTCTGGTGGATGTGGCACCAGGAAATTTTGTACTCCGGGCTTTTGACTGGCAAGAATGACAATTTTTGTACTCCAAATGCTGCAGTCCACCCCACAAAGCAAATGCACCATTGCAAATGTATGAGACTGAGTATAGGTACCAAGGCAGACAGTTTTTCTTTCTTGATAGCCAGGAGGGTGCATGAACTTTGTTGTCATAAAGTGAGTTACAACATTTATTTGATTTCCAGGGAGCAAACATATGGAGCCCCAAGAAATGGAAACAAGCATCTGCAATCCTGCAGGAGCTGGTCAATCCAGGGTGTTCATGTCAATGTCCTTCATCATTGTATTACATGGGTTAGATGTACTTGTACAAGCCTATGCAACTCCTGAAGGGTGATGACATCTCATGTGAGCTACTTCTGTGGAAATGAAATAAACTGAAATATGAAATGTGATTGTTTTAAGTACCTACCGCTGCCACATACCTCAGGTGTCACCTGTGGGGAAAATATATGGCGCACCTGAGTAAGACCGCATTCCCCACGACGCACACACCTACCGATACCTTTTTCAAGAAACGGACGAACATATCACGGCGCCGGCTCCCACCACGCGACGAACCCATCGCCTCCCGTACCCGAAACTTATGGCAGCCCACCGTCCTGCAACTGACGAGTGCATTCTCGGGCAGTGAAGGTCCGCATCAGAACAAAAGGACACCTACAACAATATTCTTTCGACCGGAAAGCCACTAGCAGCACCAAAATCACCAATGGCGTATCTATTTCAACTAGATCATTCAAAGACTCGGAGAGCAAGAAGTCCAGGATGCCAACTATGCTGTTAACTTACCTCATGTAAAGAAAACATGTTAGCGATTTTACCAAAGGGCGTGCATTTTGCAAACAGTTTGGTGGGAAAATTTGAAAATGTTGCAGCAATGAACATCCTTTTCAAAGCACTTGTTTCATTCCTGCTCCTGCCATACCAACCACCAATCATCATCCAACTTGCAATTAAATTAAAAATCATAACATTCAAACACACCACATATCGGCACTTTTAAGAATCATGACATTAAATGACATCCAAATATCACGTTTGTGGGCGGCACTTTTGGTGGTAACGGCTTCTTTTGGGTTCCGAAATGTCATGGGGAATTACGTTCCCAAAATGGGAGCTTGTGGCATGCAGCATTCCAAAACTTATCATTACTTTTGTGTAAATGATAGCAAGTCAACCACTTCTTAAAAAATCGCTTAATGCCGGCTTTTGAAGATTCGAGGATATCTTATTTATTTAACAACAGTATCACGTCTCCGGGCTCAACCAGTATCTGTACTCCTAAGATAGAGACGGTCCATAACCCGGTGGGAAAAAATCGCAGTACTTGGTTGCCCTTCTCACAATGGGGCCTATGGGGAGACCCGGAGAGAACAAGCCAGAGTACAAGCCGGAGAACAGCAAGTTTTTGGCAAGGTTAGCCAAATTTTATTGAAAAATTTACGTGCTTTGGTATCGCCCAGACACGGGCCTTTCTTCGAGGGTGTTAAAATGACGTCAGATGCCTTAGAATAATAAATATCAATCGATTTGTAGTACAGGTACTGCATTATCTCGGCGTTGTCTTGCGCCACCAGAAGATAAGATATATTTGTAGGCGGCAAATTACAACTTGAAATGCATGGCTGTAAAGCTCTATGATTTTTCTACTACAAACTTAACAATTTGTGTTGGTGCAACTGGATAAATGGCTTTTCTTCGACTATTCATCACAGCCTGTCATTTCAGGAATGACCCGTGGTACTTGTACTTGGTTGGCCCCTTGACAAGTGCTAGAATGTCATCACAATGTCTGGGAATGCGCCAGAACTCCTGTGCGTGGTTTGGTTGTTTGTCTTGATGTGGTGGGAGCAAGGCTATGGTGGGAGTGAGGAGGGTGGAACGTGAGTGTAGCTGCTTGGGATTATGTGCATTGTGGTTGTGAGTTTGAGTTACTCAGTGAGGCAAAGTGGAATTTGTTGTCTTCAATATTCACACAGCATGCATCCACACTTCTAAGGTTGCTTGGGATTTAGTTTTGGACCACTATTAAGTCATTCCAAAAAAGGTAAATTAGTGCCTGGGAGCTGACCTAAATGTTTACCACTGCAGGCCGATGTAAAATTGCCTTGTTATAACCTGCTCTACCTACAGCAAGGTGGGTAGGTACGTAGGTACTGAGGTATCTGGAGACAAAATTAATGCTAGGTTGGGTTTCCCATGTGGGATCAAATATAAGGCTGACCTCTTTTCAGCCTGTGGTTATAATTGCTGTAATGTGACAGGTGGCAATGCTGCCATGTTCCTTGCTGTCAGACATTAGGTCCTGCAGTGACACTATTAAAATTTTCCCTGCATTGGATCATAGGGGACTTGGAGAAGAGGAGAAGCATAGAGATTCGAAGGTAGGAGCATGATTCTACCTGTTTTGAGATTATTTACGATATGTGCTGCCTTTAACACAACAAATGATGTGCAATGATTTTTTCTAACATTAAGTAGGAAAGTACACCTACACTGGTGCAGGAAGAGAGAAGGAGCAGAAGTGGAGGAGGAGTGGAAGGAGAAGAGTGACAGAAAGAGCAGGGAAGGAACTGAAAGAGGAGAAGAGCAGAAAGAGAAGAATAGGAAGAGGAACACTTTTGGTATGTTTATATTAATTCTGTTAAGGCCTCAAGGACTACATGTTAGTGATATCACATACATAAGGCTTTCATAGTCAGTTACAGCTACCTAAGAGTTATAAAAAAACAGGGTGTCATGCAAAGTGTCTGTCCACAATTCAGTTTGTCAGTTAGCAGAGGATGCATCTGATTTATCATTTTGATATTGTATAAGTTTGCATGTAGATAGGTAATATGTAAATGAGTTTTGTATCATGCACCCGTGAATGTATATGCATACAATTTTGTTGTTAACCCCTCTAACTGTATATTTCTTATTAACACATACCCTTAATCAATCTCTGCACATATAGGCAAGCTAGTAGCACTACCCGGACATGGATGGGATCAGCGTGGCACCCTCACTCACAAGAAGTGCTCTGTTCCACTGAAATGCAAAATGGCATGCTGACTAATTTTTGCCTGAAAAACACTGGGAAAATGTTGATGCATTAAGGGCAGTGTGTAATGTACTCCAACCAAGGCCTGTTGTGCAGACACTCATTCCACATTAGACAGACTTCTGCTGTTTGTGCTCCAACCATGAAAATGTTTGTACTCTGCCACCAGCAAAAAAAAACTAAATTTTCCACCCTGATAAAACACATATATGTCTGAATCCAAGGCAGTGGTGGTGGAGATGTGTAGCCCTAGTTTGGGATACAAAAACAAATAAATCATCAAAATAACAAGACATCCTGCAAACATAAAGTATTCCATAGTGAATGCAGTGTCATAGACACTGCTTTATGCTGTGATATATCTCACTGGTAAAAATATCAAGTCAACCTTCTCAAAAGAGCAGCATCACTTTTACATATGCTTACTCATCAGAGGGAGGCTGTTGGCATCTTCTGTGACTTTGCTGCTGAAGTACAAGCTGCGACGTAACCTCTGGGAGAGGGCGCGGTGACAGAGGAATTCCTGCAGGTAACATAACATTGAGATGCATCTATGTAGCGAATGACATGTGAAACCAACTTGCATAATGAAAAACAGCATCATTTACCATAGCCAGCTTTTCTGTGCTAACCTGATCAATGAGGATATAATTACTGACCTACAAAAGGTTCATACATTCAGCAAACATGGATCTGGTTGCAAAATGGTTGCCACACCAAAATTAATGCACACTCATGCTGAATTAACTGACCACCACCTGACACACACCCTTGCTGATGTTGCCTGAAACCCTGGCACTGGTATTTAAGCTATCACAACTTACATTTCATGTTTCCCTTTTTTGTTCCAGTCCAAACCAATGCCTGCATTTTGGCCATGTTTAAATACTCACCATGCTTTAATGACAAAACCAAAATAAAGCACTGCAAATTAAAAATCCTCTCACCTCTCTCCGGGTGGGCTTTGAAGCACCCAGTGCCATAATTTGGAATCCTTGTTGTCCCAGCTGATGCAGATTATCTGATTGGTGCCTGCAAAGAAGCTGCAAAATAAAAAGTACCTTTGAGCTTTGGTTTCATTTTCCAGGCCAGAGATGCTACAACTTCGCGTAAAATACCACCTTTCCGACTACACAGCTTGCACGTGCCTCCTGCCCACACCTCTTTCGTCACATCTGGCACTGATTTCAGAATGGCAAATAAAATACAACGAAACACACGGCCAAGATGCTTTCGACACACATAGCGCTTCAAGTAACAATTTTTTCCTTGTCCAACATTCAGCTATCAGCCCGGTGTAGCGACTGCGATATGTGCGGAAAATGACACCCACCTTTCCCACCACACCCCACACCCAATCACCACACACGCGCTTCGCTGCCGGGCTAGTTAAGCCCGTGCTAGATAGGCAAAACGGTCCGATGATTCTCGTTTTATCTTCGCGTAATCTTGACGTCACTGGTGTCAAAACTTTACGCCGCCGTGGGCCGCAAGATACTGGACGCAATGCTGAGGGGCAGCTGGAACATCAAAATACGCGTGCAGATAGGAAAAAAAGTCGTTCGCAGAAGGTGCTTATGATCTGAGAGCCCATAACGAAGAATTGCGTAGCAAATATGATTATGTGTTTTGCAAGCACATACGGCAGCAATTAAAATGTAATGGCACGAAAAATAAAAACCGCAGAAATGAGACTACTTCGCAAGAGGGTGGTAGGAACATCAGGTTGTCTTTGTACCTATCACGAATTAACTTTTCAAGGCGGAAAGCCCATTGCCCAACCAAGAACAAAGCCGGAGTTAGCAATTTACATTGGTTGAGATCTCAACGTCTGTCAGTGCCACACAGCGTTTAACAGGGGCCCTGCGTCGGCAGGGGTGCGGCATCGGCCAGAGGCAGCATTCGAGAAGTCTCGAAGGGCCTTGAGGGCTCTCCGGGACCGACGATCAAGGGCCCGATAGGAGGGTTTAAGGGCGCGAATGGCTGGTGGGAATCCTTCTCAAGGGCCCCGGTCTGCGGAGACGGACCCAAAAAGTACAAACTACAAACTACTACAAACTACGAAGTACAAACTCACTACAGCCAGAAGGCCGTTTGCGCAGATCAGGTCGCTAAGGTCTGGGTCGATAAGGGTTTATATATTACTGTAACCAGCTGCGAACCCAAGATCAGCGATTTACACTGGTTGGGGCCCCCATATCTGCAAGAGGTCCACAGCACCTAACAGAGGGTCTTGTGTTCGCAACAGGTGCCGAACCGACCAGGGCAGTGTCCGATTAGGCCCGAAGAGGGGCCCGGGCGGCCCATCGGAACCGACGATTACAGGCCCGGTTAGAGAGCACAGGAGTCCGAATGGCTCGTTGTAACTCACTTAAACAATAGCGGCCCGTATGGTCATGACCTGAAATATCAGTCAGATGGCCTCTTGCACCGTTTGAAGACCCCCGAGATAACGCAGGTGTCTGAGTCGGCTCGAGACCAACAGCATCAGTCCGTTGGCACCCTTCCAGTTTTAATCTTGGGAGCACGTGCACGTTGAGCATACCTGAGCAAGGCCGGGGGCAACAATTTATATTGGTCGGGATCTTTAAAACACTGGTCGGGGCCTTATATTGGCTGGGGACCGACAGCGCCTGACACAGGGCCATGTGTCGGCTAGTAGCTTCGAGTCTGTGCAGATCTTTGAGAAGCCCCGAAGAGGGCCGAAGGGCCCCTCGGGACCAGAGGTCAAGGGCTCGGTTGGAAGGCCAAAGAAATCGAAGGACAGGCCATGGGTCATGTTAAGGACGTGGCCCCTTCCCCGTTCGTAAGGCCGTGACCTCAAATGTTAGTCAGGGAGCCTCTTGCTTGGGGACCCTTGGGACAGTACGGGCTTTAATTTCGGCCAGAGACCAGCAACACTGAACGCCACCGATAGAGCGCAGGCGGAAAACCGCGCAGTGGTTAACACACGCTCGAGTGGGGGGCTCAATTTGACCCTACCCGGAAGGTTTTTCCGGAATGATTTCCGAACGGCTTGGCGTAGCCGCACCAAATTTGGCATGGCTGTAGACAGTTGAGTAGCGGATCGTTTGGTACCAAAAACTTTAATGTACCTACTACGGTTGCTGCCCTGCGGCAGGTCAGGGTCAGGCCATGGATTCAGTGGTCAATTTTTAGGGAAGCGTTTAGTCCGATGCAACAACGGAATGTTACACGAGTCCATAGACCTCAGGAATACTTCCTTAGGAAACACAACAATGAAAGATGAATTCCATTGACCTAGGGTCAAGTACGAAGGTCAGTCCAAGATCAAAACCAACGTGCTTTATCGCTCTAATGCTTGCTGTTTCGGACAGCTTTAGGTGTTCGATGCGAACTTATTGGTACGGCCAGGAATCGCATTATGCATCTTCCACGGACTTGTTAAATGTCAGAACAGGTCGCTGAACTCAGATGACCTCGGTCAACATTTTGTAATTAGGAGCATACTACCTAGCGTTATCTTTGTCGCTTTTTCAAATGCAGAACTCAAGCAGTCGTGCATTATTTTTGTTACCATGACCTTTGAAGTCAAACAAGGTCGCTAACCTGTAATGAGCGTGTGACCTTTTGCTTAGAATAGGTATGTAGATTCTGGGGACACTCTGGAAAACCATCCTGGAGTGGAAACCATATGTGCCCGCTAGGAAGTCTATTAAAATTTCACCTATCCAGGCTACAGTTCTTATTTACATGACTTGTAAGCCTTCCAGACCGGTACTGATGTCAACGAAAAGTGACATAACCTTATTTTTTACAGTTAATCACCTACACGCAGCGTGCAAGACCGCAGCACGCTCGGGGCACGGCCGACAGTACCAGCACGGCTCGTAACATCGGATATCCAGACAATCGGTGCGCCTCAACCCCGAGGGGCTTCGATCGCGGCCCCATGGTCAAGATTTTGACGTTGCTCATACGTGCAGGCGTTGGGAACTGTCTGTTACGTCCTACATACACATCCCCCGTAGGGTGTTCACCCGACATTGAACACAGCTGAGGTTTTATTAAAGAAATCGTGTCTCGCCTTCTCGACAGTTTTCTTTTCCAAAGCCCGTTGCCGGGATATTTTCTGTTAAGGATCGGTGCTTTCTGTTAAGGAGTCGGAGATGGCCGTTTGAATCCAGCTGGCCGAGTTGGTATCACAATTTGGAGCCACCGCACAGTCTGCCTGATTTGGAGGCTCGGAAGCTCGGTCTGCAGGCGCTCCCAGTAAGTTTGTGAAGCATGCACGACGATCGCGAGACAAAACGTCACGACTCCGCGCAGCTCGTCACGGAACTCTCCAGCACATGAAAAGGTGCAACTGCCACGGAGGCCTGGCCTTTGCCTGGCCACCACCGGACGTGACCCCGCCAGAGGCAGCAGCGGGACGAGACCAGACGCTCGCCAGGTTGAGGCCAGGACTGCCGGTGGCATGATAATCCAGATCCCCGCCAAACGTCATCACAGCGCCTGTGATATCGACTCCGCTCATCTCGAATGAAAACATGACACAGGATAAGAAAGGTCCGCGAACAAGACGAAAAACGCCAGCAAAATGTAAATGATGCGCTGGTTGCAGAGACACGACCGACCTTACGACTGCACGACCATTTGATCAAACACAAGACCGCCAGCCGCCGAGGCATCAACCCCGGACACCACTCGCTCGGCAAGGGAACGTGTAACATCACTCAGGACCCACAATCTTAACACCACCGCTCCTGACTTCAGGTCAGCACATGGTACCAATGCTTCCACGGCAGCCACAGAGCGCGTGACGCCGGGGACGTGGAGCAGCGCAGGTCTTCCCTACAGCTCCGGCTTCCCAGCGGTGGCCACCGCCGCCGCTGCCGCCCCGCCATCACACTTGCTGTGGTCTGTGCCGGCAGGCCGTGACGTCACGATGCAGGGGCAGGCCTCCAATCGTACCGTCAGCTATGGGATGTGACACTATCACGCCTCGCCGCGCTCTGCGCAGCGCGCCCAGGCCATGCAGGAGGGACTGCGGTCACCCAGCGGTGGCCGGGGCCGCGGACGCGGACGCGAACGGCGTGCAGCCGGCTCCGGTCGCCAGGTCGCCATGGCAACGCGGCGACGGCGCTGAACGGGACTCGCGAGGAGCTGGGCTCCACACGGGCGGGTCACACGCTATGCGGCGGCGCACCGTGGCGCCATCGAAGACGGCACCGAAACTGAGCACGCCACAACGCAGCACAGCTGCGTCAAAACGCCTTTCCAATCTGAGATCTTCTACTCGGAAGTCGCTTGCGTGGGTGCTTCATTCGCGCCGAGGAGCGGTCCAAGAGACGCGCGTGGCACAACGGCATTGGGCCGAACACACCAGGTGCACCAGGACCGCGTGCGCACCGCTGACGGATCGAGCGGGTCAGACCGAGTGGAACGTTCAGCCTCTCAAACTTTTCGCAAAGAGACGCATCCAGCACTACTCTCAGCACCGGCCGGCGGCGGCCCCGCAGTGATAGCCGTGGCCGGCATAGCGGCAATGGCCGTGGTCGGCGGGAGTTGGGCACTTCACAGGTGCCGTGTCGGCGGCGCGCGCGGCGGTGAGCCAGCCGGCCATGCCCGCGCGACAGAGCAGCGAACGCGCCGCTGCTGGCCGCCGGCCGGTCACCGCCTGCTCGATCGTCCGAGTCTAGCGAGGTCAAGCTGCTGCTACCATTGGCCGAGCCCCCGCAGCTCCGCGACCAATGGCTACGCGCGTTTTTTGACGGCGAGCTGGTGCCGTTGGCGACGGTGACGGGCAACGCGGCGTCGGGCTCAACCTTGACCGGCGGCTGGGCGATGGGCAGCGCCGGCGCCGGCAGCGACGGGCCATCGTCCTCGTCGCTGGAGCACAGGTCGATGACGAGCGTGTCGTGATCGCGCGTCTCGCGGCCGATCGGGCGGCTCGGTGCGCTGCTTCCGAGCGGCCTGCACACGCTGCCACGCACCAGGAGAGTCCTTCCTGGCGGTCCACGGGACCCCGGCCCGCGCGGCCAGTCGCCCCGTCCCGGAGGTCGGGCCACGCTCCCGCGCACGAGCGGAGGCCTGCCTCGCCCCTGCGAGCACTGCCAAGTATATCCCTGTGTGAAGGATGGTCTCCCCACTCTGCCTCGCACGAGCGAAGGTCTCAACGCCGCCGGGCCGGCGGTGCCCCGCACCAGCGGATGCCGCGCCAACGAGCCGCGCGGCGGGCGCCCCACAGGCCGTCGCACGCATTCGGGCCCCGCAGCAATCACTGCCGGGGCCGCTCGCCGTTCGCCGCTGTCGGCCGGCGGCTTCTGGACGGTGTACTGCGCCGCGGCGGCCGTCCAGCTGGCCACCTGCGCGCCGGACGACGGCGGCGTCCGGTCGGCGGCAGCTGACGGCCTCCAGAGCCGGCCCATCGCGCCCGCCGGCGGCCGCCACGCCCGCTCCGGGCTGGCCGGGGCCGGCGGCGGCGGCGTGCGCGGCCGGCACGCCTCAGCGATCAGCTCTGGCGACAGCCGCATCAGCGGCACCGAGCAGGGCAGCACGAGCGGCAGCAGGCGCCGCGAGCGGCACGTCAGACCTAGAACGGGCCGCAGCCGGTCAGACGGACGGGGGCAACGGCGGCGTCACTGCCAGCAGAACTGGGCACCCGCCTCTCAGACAGCGGTGCAGATGGTCCGCACCACATCGGTCGGTTAAAACCACACAACATACGCAATCGCCACTCAAACGAAGCAAGCTACCAACAGTTGCCCATGCAAGTGAATTTGGCAGACTCTAACTAACCAAAACTCGCAGATACATTTCCTAAAGGGGCCGTTAAGGTATAGTGGCATCTTGCAGCCAAGAGCTGGATCCCCTTACAGGCAGAGGTGTGACAGAATAAGAAGCTAAGATCATTTTAACGCTAAAGGAACTTAACCGTTGAGGGCGTAGCCAAACCCCAATGACAACAGAACTCTTCGGCTCCTGACCGACCAAAACACATCAAACAGCAGCCGTTCCAACCACGCAGACGGTAAACCATCCGGAGAGAGGGGGAGGAAGGGGGGGGGGGGGAGAGCCGGACACACGGGCTGCTTGGCGCGCCGGTGAGTCACTGTCCGGTTCTGTTGACGCGCCTCCGCTCGGCGCGCTGGGCGGCCGTGAACTTGTACAGATGGCTCCAGCGGTGCACGATCGTGCGGCCGTTGCGCGGAGGCCGCCAGCTGACGGGAAACGCTGGCTGGCGCCACAGCCTGTCGGGAGCCGAGGGCCAACCAGGTGCGGCCGACAGACGTGCCGTCAGTGACGCCCGTATTCAGCGGGATTGGCACAGGCCACCGGAGAAGTCATGATGCGGTTCACAACAAACCCGAGCAGAGTTCCGGAACCATCAGGCATACATCCGTGCAACTGCGTAAGACCACGTGCTTTTGCGTCTATGAGCTTACTGTAGTGCGATCAATGTCCTCAATTTTCATTTTCGAGAATTTAAAAAAAACAACGTTTTACAGTCCCTTGTGTCGCCTCTCTCTCTCTCTCTCTCTCTGGGCACGCCCCTACTACCAACGTCCAATCGAAGTCCATAGTCGCTTGGGACACTGGCCGGGTATGGTGAGAGCCTAAAATTGTACTCTGTCGTACATCAGCCACCTCATGAGCCTCCAGATATGCGTTTGTCATAGCCGTCTGGGCTATCGGAAGCTGAAGGGCTGGAAGCGAATGCTGAGCAGAGATACGTAACGGCCACCGCCGCGCAGAGAGGGAGAGAGAGGGTGCCGGTAGTGTAGTGGTTAACGCGTCTGGGAAACCAGAGGTACGGGGTTCGATTTCCCGCGGTGCCCGCCCTTCCTGTCACGGTGTCGCAATCATGCCAGCAATCATGTCGCAGATGTTTACATGTGAAGTTCGCCCGTAATAATGTGAGTGCCAGGGATGCCACGCTGGACACTCAGATTTGCCGTGTGTCCGGAGATATTTTCACTTCGGAAGATTAAGTTCCAAGAGAGCGCATCATTCCCAACAATGCAGAGCCTGTTCCCATACACAATGCTCTGTTTGAATCAGCCCCCAAAACAAGGCAATGATGCGTTATCCCTGCGTCGATCGCGTAGCACAGGCCCACCCAATCGACAGCTGTTCGCGTTCAAAGGTCCCCTGGAAGCTCCGGAGGGCCTCTCCATAACGTAAGCTCTTCAGGACACGGCGATCCCAGAAAGCGGCTCCACATCCAGCTAGCCTCTACGCATGGTTCCACTGACGGCACAAGCCGCATACAGATTGTTGTTAGTCATCTGGACGAGGCTGGACAGGGCTTGGACGGTGACCGGAGCAGTGACGATTGCCAAGAAAATCGGCCAGCCGCCACGCTGACCGGGACCACGCGCGTTGTTTCCTCGTTTTTCTACTTTGCACGACGCCAAAAAGCAAAAATGCATGACGTACAGACGGTGCGATATCACGCGGAGTACCATACGCGGTTCCAAACAAAAAAGACCGGCGCCATGCTCAATATTCCAGCTGGATCTTAGCACCTCCCATTACCTTTGCGCGACCTGTACATAATAGCCATATATGCACTCTGCTACGTGCCGGGAAACACGAAGGCGACGTTAACAGATAATGACACCGTAATATTGGATAGAATAGGAAGCGAAAAGTAGTAAACGACATCATTTTCCGCCCTTGCTCATAATCACTCTCAATCACTAAAAATTGATTGAATGAAAGCGGGATGAAACGTAGTGCTTAGAGGGATTTTCTAGCTGCGTATATCGTTCACAAATTGTCTATGCTAAGGAACTGTAGGTAAGCACTGGAAAGTAGAAGTCAATGATCATATCCTACCGTCATGAAACTGAACTCCTACGACCTCAATTTCACGATACATTACTCACACCCCTCCAACTCACAGCGACATCTGCTTCCTTGTGTGCATCATCCCTCACCCCCTGCTTCTCATTCCCCGGGCTTACTCCCAGCTACGCCACCCTCCATCGTCCACCTATCTTCACTGGTTGACCGTCGCTCACCGTTTGTTACTGCCGTCATCACAGTAGCGCTCGTAGTCGACGAGGCCGTCGGCGGGCGGCGCCACGCCGGCGCCCAGCCGCCGGCCCAGCGGCGAGCTCAGGTCCACCGCCTGGTAACGGCCAAGCGGAGCCAGCCGCCGCCGCTGCCGCCGCTCGGCCGACGCGCTCTGCTTGCTCGGCGACGCGTACAGCTGGGGACGGCACTAAACGGTCAGCGGGCACCAGACGGCATGGCACGCAGGCGGCTTGGGACAGCGAACGGAGCGCGCCGCTGGGCAAGCGCCAGGAACTTCAGCGAAAGGCGGAACTACGAGCGACACAAGATGACTATGGCCGGGACGGAGCCGAGAGCGGGGAACACAGCCCTAAAGCATGCTCCAGGTTTATGGAGCGGTCGAGACTAGGCCTTAGCGTCATGGATGAGAAATGTTTGAATTACCGTCCTCCTTTGGCCTATAAGTATCTGCACAGCGTTTCGGCCACGCAATTCTGCGGCCGCGGTTAGGTGTTGTTGAGTCTCAAACAGAACGCATAGTGCTTGACTTTCAGCCATGCATGTGTCATTACAACACTTCGTACCCTTGAGCTGCTAACACAGGAAAAGTCTTCCGATTACAAGTCAAGTGCTTGTAGTTAGTACTACTAAGTTTGTACTAAAACATACAGAGATGTGCTTCTATCACGCACTAATCGCATAAATGCTAGGAGACCAATAATTCCAGGTACATGCTTACTCTTATTCTACCACCATGAACCCACCGAGCGCTGTATTCTCCACAAGTCTCCTCATCCGTCACACGCAGCCCTGCAGCGCCTCCCAACGCCTCGTGCCTACCTGTTTGCCGCTGCTGACGGCCGGGACCAGACCCACATAGCTAAGAAAGCGCGTCTGGTCGCGGCACAGCACCTCCGGCTCGGAGCGAACCGACTCGGTGTCCGAGACCGACTCCTCATCCGCCGTAACGCCACATTCGCGCTCGTGCGCCTGAAACGGCAAGAGCGCGCGCGTGACGCGCGTATGGCGCGGGTGCACGACACAGGCCCAGGCGCAGATACTGTAACGTGACGAGACGGTCTCCGATCTCCTATCGCGAGCTCAAGTGAGTCTTGTATCCTTCCGTCACCAAGTGGGCAACACAGTGAATACGGTAGAGTTAGCCTCCCTCCCACGTTCCCGGGGACCGGACCACGACCCCTGGCATATGGGGAAATACGCCGACCTCCCCCAACACTCGTGCGTTCACCATGCAGATGGGTCGGCGTGTCGCAAGGTCTTGGCCTTGTCCAACAATCCGGGCTTGATGAACAGACCATGAACTGGTTATCGTGCAACAGCTCTGCATGGTAGCTACAGCAACTTCCACTTTGTCCATGGCCTTAGTCTGCTTACTAAAGCATCATGCCCATTCTAGGCAGCAAACTAGCAGGCATCGCCAAGTGAGTCAGGCTAAAGGTAATGTTCCACATTTGAAAATACTGCAGCAAGCAATCGGTACGATGAAATTCGCTCACTTATAAGTATCGGTACACTGAATGGAGAAGGCCGCTGTACGCGACACCATTTCTCTTTAAAGGGGGTGTTCCAAATTTGTATGGAGTTTTGAACCGAAATAGATATCCTAAAGATCATCCGGTGCAGTCCATAGCCTACCTTTCGTAAGACCTTAGTCCCTATAGTTTCTGAGCTGCACGCCCGCAGATATGTGCAGACGTTTTCGCTTTACCTGTTTCAAGGCCACCCAGGCATACATGACGCCATGACAGCGCCATTCACATCATGCCATTCCAATGGCCATGCGGCGACCGAGGCCCAAGAATGGAACTGTCGAATTGTTCACATATGGTGTTCGTGAGCATGATTTCCAGATATCACGGTCGTCAACTGGTTCCCAATCAATATTGTGCAAGGTACGATGACGCAATTAAAAACTGATGTGATGAGGAGCATATCTACCAAATCGAGAAATTTGATTGACTAGAGCATTCCTTTCTATTTAGAAGTATATCAATAGTTTTACTAGAGCTTACTTCATCATATGTGATGCTCGCTTCTTCTCCTTCGCTTCAATGCTCGATCGCAAAATTTGAAACATTCCCTTCAGTGAATATGCTGCTCAATACGTCATTGTTTGATTGCATCATCGTAACTTTCACAACATTAATTGAGAAGCCATTTTATTTAGGCCATTTTACATTTAGAGAGTTGACGGCCATTTTATACGGAAATCGTGCTCACGAACGCCAAGTATAAACGACTCGGCAATTATGTTTTTATTCGCCTTGATCCCGCATAGCCAACGCCATGGCAGGATTTAAATGACGTAATTATGGGGTCACGAACGTCTGGGTGACAATGATGCACGAAAAAAGGCGGCATATTTTCGTGGGCGTGTAGCTCAGAAAGTAGAGATGTTTAGGTCTTAAAGTGGCAGGGCTGTAAACTGCACTGAATGCTTTTAAGATGACTATTTCACTTCAAAACCCCATGCAAATGTGGAACAAATACTCCCTTTAACTTCAATTGCCAGGTGAGCACATGTTACGGCGTGGAAGCATGTGCTCAACCCAGGATTGTCAGACGTTATGGCAATCCACATGCGCCAACTGAGTAAGTATTGGGTCTAGACGGACATTACCAACGTTTGCAGGTCCCACCGCTGCCACCATTGTTATGCACGAGGCATCCACACGGTATGAGAGCAAGGGACGATGGGTGTTCAACAAAGGCCGGTAGAAACCGTTGACGGGTGGTTGCACACGCGTCTCATCCTAGTCATGCAGCCATGTTTGTAGGCTGCCGAAGGTACAGTAGTGCACATTGCGGACAAAGATAGCCCACCAGAGCCCCTAGAGCTCTGGTGGATACACTCAGCCCTATACACCCGGATAAATAACCCCCAGAGCCCCTCGGTAGAACTGTGATATTTAGAAACAGATGAATGGTACAAGCAGCTTACTGAAGGAGTGGATACACGCAATAGTCGAGCACACTTGCCACTTTTGCCACTTTCGCAGTTCAGACAAACAGCGAAAGAACTCTTGACCACCCAAGGCCAGGAAACCGATGTTTTTTCTTGGCCCAATCAGCACAATTTTGTAAATAAATTGAAGCAGTAAACTAGCACGTTTGATGGTGAGAAGCAGGAGGCTTCATATATCTTAGTGGGTTTTATAATAGCACCCAAAGGGCCACAGTTATCATCGTTTGAGCCACCCGAGGCTTGTATTTTAAAGCTGACCTCAAGACGGCAGAAACGATGGATGATCTTGTTCCTTGGAATGAGGAAGAACCAAGGAACTGAAATAAATGCAACAACAAAAACAATAAAAGCTGTCAGATTGGAAAGACACTTTACATGGGAAAAAAGGATTTTGCTGAACCTTGCACATGCTGCCACACCCACAAATGTCAACTGTAGAGGGGATCACATTCATCGTTGCAAAGTCCAGTCAGGCAGCTGGATGTGAAGTGATGAATACAAGCGGCCAAGTATAAGAAAAGTGTCTGTTATTGCTCGATACTGCTTAGCATTGTACGCTGGCCCCATGACAAACGCTGCAAGTTCTTGGGACCTAAATTGACCCGAGTTGGCAGCATTCACAGCACTGATGGCGACCAATGGGCGACGGTCGCATTCCCCACGGGGCTGACTTCGGCGGAGAGCTCAACCACAGGAACTACAGGCTTGCCTTGACATCAGCGACGGAGCTGAACTCGGCGCTGCACGAGTCGCAGAGGAAGATGTCGCTGGCCGGCGGCTGAACCATGGCGAGCTTGCTGGCATGGCCGGGACCGCGCGCCAGCCGCGGCAACAGGTGCCGGCGCGGGGACATGGCGCTGTCGGGGCACGGCCGGTCGTACTCCTGGAGGGGTGACATCCAACAGTCATGCCATTGGTGACGCGGCACGCCCCCGACGAGGGAGTGTCGTATTGGTGGCAGCGTGACACAGGAAGGACGGCGCCGCCGTGGCAAGAGGGTCACATTGCGTGAGCAGCAACCGTGGACCGCGTCAGAAATACTGCAAAGGGAAGCTCGCGCCACTGTGTATGAAATGGGTACCACGCTGCTACCTTGGCAAGACGGCGGAAGTGTACTTTCGTGGCATGCAAAACCAGCTATAGTTCCGACAGCGCAACACGGCAGTCCCTTTCACAGGTTTACGGATGTGTTCACGGATTGATGGCCGGCCGTATTCCTCCTATCCACCACACGCCACCGTGCCGACGTCCTCTGTTCCGGTGGCCGGGTACGTCGGCACGCACCAGGTTCTCGTTGAGGCACGTGACCACCAGTCGGTTGGTGCCCCGCTCATATAGCGACGAGCTGCCATTGAAGTTGTTCTTGAAGAGCATACGGCCCGAGGCGCAGTGGTGCTCGAGGTCGGCACAGAAGCGCACCAGGTACTCGCATGCGTTGCCCCGGTAGCAACAGCGGACCAGCTCGCGCAGACGCTCCGCATGTCCCTGTGTGTAGAGGCCGGTGAGCAGACAGCGAGGTCTGGGCAGGCCGCGTCCGGACCCGCCCGCTGACTGAAAGGTGAGTGATCTTGAGGGTTCAACAGATGTGGCCATCAGCATGATCCACAACAGCTGTTTTCTACAGAAGCAGAAAGCTCTGTCAGTGAGGCACTGGATAAAACTATACCAATTGACACAGCCCTGTGTGCCCAATGCACAAACACATTTTGACATGTATTGTGTCTTGTACGGCCTATGCAAAACAACATACGCTGCAATCAGGTTAATTCTAGGAATGCCATCTACCTCAACAAGCAGTAATCGAATTCCCCAGGCACCTATTCAAACGTTACTTAGTATTGTACCATTTCTTACAAGATTAGACTGCCGACGAAATAGCTTGCCCTCGCCATCCTTTACAGGCCGTTCTATCGAGCCAGGCCGATTGCCTCCCCACTCAGCCAGTCCACCAGCACCTAGCTATGCCAGTCCACCAGCTTGTATGGCAAGCAGGGCACCACCGTTTTTGTTTTAAAAAATTTCATCAGGACATTTTCCATGGACTGATTTCTGGGATCAGGGCTCACATTAAGCAGTGCTGGATGTATCAGCCCTACCCGTTACCATCCCATCGTGCAATTTCAGACGCAGTCCGCGCTGCCCTCTGACGTCACCTCACCTTTTCCACCTCCCTGCTGGCTTTGAAGTTGAAGTAGGGCACGGTTCGCGGCCACCAGGCGGGCCGACGCACCAGCCGCAGCTTGGTCTCGTCGACGCCCAGCGCGCACTTGAGCATGAACCGGACAAACTTCACCAGGTTCCGCTGCCAGGGTTGTCAGCAAGGGCATCAGAGGCAAGACAAGCTAGGAGATCAAAGACGTGACAAGTGGGGGGGGGGGGGGGGAAGCAAGAATATGACACGAGATACAGCAGAATTTATACGGTCAGTCGCCCACTCCAAACATCCGTGGTTGTTCAGGCAGCACAGCCAAATACGGCCACCGCTGGCCCGGGGGCGGCGCTTTCACCTCCAGCATGTTCTCCAAGGAGACGGGCAGACCGCTGCTGAAAACCAGCGGGAGCGCTGAGACCATGAACGGCTGCGACGCATCGCCAGTCGCCCTCGCCTTCTGCGCCATGCCTTCCATGCTTGATAGATTCTCTGGGGGAAATTGGGAAAGGTTACAAGTCATCAGCCTACGGGGCCTACTAAACTAGTCGCGATATCAGAGGGGACTGAAATGAATGCCAGTTAACAACGGTGATGCTCACAAGCTGACAAGTTTTGAACAGGAGTAGGCAGCCAAGTCATACTATGGAAATGTCAGATTACTGATTTGAACGGAAAAACGTATGGCCGCAGCTTAATGTGAACCCTTCCTTCCCCAATGGCAGAGTGAGCATAATTCAGGTCATTATGCTAATAAAACAAAAATCTCTGTTCAATGGTGCTTTGACAAAATGCATCGCATATCTTTCACGGAACGTCTTGCAATCAGTGTTAAAACACCCCAAAAACTTGGCCTTGTTTAGGTACAAACATGCCCAAAGTTGTACCCATCTGATCATATGAGGCCACAATATAACAAAGTGTTGAGTGCAGGGATGTCATGGAGTCTTGGGCATTCTCTGTCTGCAACATGCTATTGCCTGTATGAACTAAAAATTAAAGCTTTAGGATCCCAAACCTTGAACACATGCTCCTTGATGAAAAGCAATTACGTGACTCAATTCGTAGCATTCATTTGCTTTGTTTTTAGATCATTTTGAGGACAAGCTTTAACATGCCATATTCTACATCTAACTTTAAATTTTGGCTCCTTTTTGAGGACCACTTGACCATTTCCAGTATGATTCTCAAAAAATCAAAGGATTCAACATTAGGAAGAAACAATTTTCAGTATTTCAGCATTTTGTGGCCTAGGCGAATAACAAAATGAGAGATGTTCATAGTTGATTGTTGCATTGAAAACTTGTGGTGGAACCCTGAAAAGGCACAACCATGTAAAAGGAGCAGAATGGAAAAAGCTGACAACAGCAAAAAAACATGCAAAAGAAACATACCTAACACAAGCGATAGCAATACTGCATCTACTGCCAGACAGCCACACCTTTTAAGACCTTTGCGTTTAAGCCATATCTTCATCATATTTTATGGATGCAGTTATGCCATCACTTTTGCAGCATTTCCTGACTTTCCTGAAAATAGATTGGGGATATTTTATACTCAGCTGTTTGCTAGTATGGAGCATCCCAATTCATCCCAATAATTTTTTTTTTATTTCACAGGGCAATGAAGTAAGGCATCTGCAATGCAGCACATATGGCATAAGTACTCCTGATCATAACACATTCACAGAAGCTGACAGCAAAGCTTGCAGTTATTCCTTGAAAATAATAAATAAAATATATTTCTACTTGAAACAGGGGTGTGATTAGTCTCCTTACACAATCCAAGCTCACAAAATCACTAAATTTTCAGTTTCAAGTGACAATTTGATGTGAGCAGCAGTTCTGTTTCCTGATGAGTGTCATTTAAACTTGCCTTAGCATGAACTGAGAGTACAAGTGTGGCCTCTTGCCTATGTAAACTTTAGGAGATCTTGGGACTTCTCTCTTGGGGCCATGAATACCAGGAAACCCCAATTTCACACTGAGTGATGGGTAATGGCAATATAAAATTATATATATTACACACATGCACACACACACACACACACAGACATACACACACACACATGTATATATATATATATATATATATATATATATATATATATATATATATATATATATATATATATGTGTTTGATTAAAAATAACTGCTGACTCAGCATTAACAAGCTTTTTGATGCATCATTCTAGTTTCCGGGCCTTTGACTTTGCGTCATAGCTTAGATTGAAGATGGTTCGCACAAAATTACTCATATATTCATCACTCCTTCCATTCTAACGTTTCAAGATCTTATCTCATCTTCGGAGAAGACTAAATTGCACATGAAATAAGTTTTGGGTTTTAAAGGATGAAAAAATTGTGCACTACTGTTGGAAAACATCTTTTAGTATGGAGAACATAAATGAAGCACAACTAATTGAAGTAAGACAGATTGCTATTTTCATCTTCATACATGTAAGAAACACTCATAATGGGAACATCACAAAGACACAATGGGAACACTATTGTCACAATCACATCGGAAGTGCTCACCGCCCACCACCTAGTAGCTCAAGAGTTCTGCAAGAATTTGTCTGTCTGTTTAAGGCCTGACAATGCACTTACGTGACAGGGCACCCCTGGACCACATGCGACAGGAACACAACATGACATTGACATGACAACTGACAGACAGCACTGACATTTTACAGATGTGCAGTGACAGAAGATGCCTTCAAATTTGGGAAAGCATATTCATTAATGAACTCTCTCTGGCCTTAAACAGACAAATTCTTGCAGAACTCTTGAGCTACTAGGTGGTGGGCGGTGAGCACTTCCGATGTGATTGTGACAATAGCGTTCCCATTGTGTCTTTGTGATGTTCCCATTATGAGTGTTTCTTACATGTGTGAAGATGAAAATAGCAATCCGTCTTACTTCAATTAGTTGTGCTTCATTTATGTTCTCCGTACTAAAAGATGTTTTCCGACAGTAGTGCACAATTTTTTCATCCTTTAAAACTCAAAACTTATTTCATGTGCAATTTAGTCTTCTCCAAAGATGAGATAAGATCTTGAAATGTTAGAATGGAAGGAGTGATGAATATATGAGTAATTTTGTGCGAACAATCTTCAATCTAAGCGATGACGCAATGTCAAAGGCCCGGAAACTAGAACGATGCAGCAAAAAGCTCGTTACTGCTGAGTCAGCAGTTATTTTTAATCAAACATGTATCAAAGAAAGAATTATATATATATATATATATATATATATATACACAATATCAAGGAAAGGAATGAAGAGCTCTGAAAACAAAACAACATTTTCCAGAACTAAGCCAAGTCTGAGCACCAACAAATATTGAAGAAGGTTTCCATAGCGGCAAATTTTGACATTGGCTGGTCTTCCTACATTTAATGTAGAAGTGTTGCCAACTGTGGCAAGACCGCATGTCTATATCAGCGAAGACAGATTTCAAGAAAAGCTGTGAGCACTGCTAATACAATGGAGAGCCTTCCATGGTGAAATATTAAAATAAAGCTCATTTAGAAGCGCGATGGTGCAGTTCTGCTGCACCTGTCTCATGCTTACATTATAGGACAGGGACAGGGACAGGATCATCTGCTCATGCTTACAATTCAGACAAAAATCTAGTACCTATGTTTCCATTTAAAAAATCAGCCAAGAGACAAAACAAAAGTTTGGACACAACCAGGCCAGAACTATGAAATTTCTCCTTTTTGAGGGGGGGGGGGGATTACTTAAGGCTGTTTCAATGCATAAAGGCCTACACTAAGCTGTCAGACAATCTGGCATTGCATGCTGCTTCTCAACATGATGACAGGATTACTCCCAACAAAACTAGAGCATTTAATTGCAGATTTGGCCTCCTTGCTTCTCCAAGTCAAGAGCACTACGACTACCTCACTGAATAGAAAACTAAGCCCATCGTTGGATTAGTTCCCAACCCAAGCTACACTCTCTAGTTCCAGTCCTCGCGGTGTGAGTCTATAAAAGTTGAAGTTATCTCACTTTGATCAACTGTAATTCATACCACTTCTAGATTACAGTCAGCGGGCTATATCGGTGTTGTCGCACGTGGAATGGCTCAATACCACCAAGTAAATCACCCATGAACCCATACTCAGCCAGACTCTTCACTTTAACCCTCTTGTAAGCCCATCAGACAATCCGCCAACCAAAATCGTCTTACGTCAGTCACCAGCGCGGCCTTGGCCACCAACTTTCCGTTCCCTCAAATTTCACCAACCAAGGACGTTGGTGCCAATATGCCGCACGACTTCGTAACCCTCGCATGCGACTAACGCTGATCTCCCAGCAACCAATAGGAATAGAGATACCTATGTGCCGTTCTTCTTCGAGGAAAGCTTCTTCAGTTATTGTTTTAAGAATTTAGAAACAGACGAAAAAAGGTTACGTTTGCTGGCCTCGAACCCAAGCTGAAATATTAAAACGCACCAAGTTTTAAAACTATTCCCAGATTTAAGCACGAGTGTAACGCAACGTGGACATCGGTTTTTTGATGACGTCACTAATGTGTACTTGCATCAGTTGTTTATTTATTGGAAAAGTTGATATCCCAGTTTATGCGTGGGGTCTCGTGACGGGTGGTGGTATTCGCATTGGGTGTGAGTATTGTCCGCGCGGTGTTTGTGTAACGTTGAGGGTGGTTTTGGATTGGCGGCTGTGGACCTATGTTTGTGTCGTTGAGTGTTTTATGGAGATCTGACTTGTGACTAGGAAAGTTTATCACTGAAGCAAGTGATAGTCCAATTGTTGTATATATGTAGACCAACTGTTGATCAGTTCTCACCAGACTGAGTTGGTGGGTACCCACCCTGTTTGCCACGTACCTATCACCACCTATTAACACAGTGTTTAAAGTTTGTGTACTGGGTAGGTTTCCATCCATGCAGACACCATTACTTGGACCCACTCATGCCATGTGTGGGGGCTGGGTTGATTGGGTAGTTGTGGTGGTAACTGCAACAATTTTCTTTAAATTACCATGACTTGGGTATTTATTTAATGTGTGTGCCAACAGTCATAGGCATATTCATTACTTATATATCTACACACTTTCCATGACTTATTTGTCCATTCACTAATATTTTCATATCACAGCACTTTGCCAGTCTCATCACCTGTACTTATTTACAAAATGTGCTTTCCATAACTGGATTGGTATGTAGTGCAGTAGTCATATAGCTAGCAAGGGTCCAGACTGCAGTGAACACATATAATTCACATGTGTGATAGCAGCCTAATTTTGGCAACAAGTTAAGCATAGTTATGGTGTAAATCATAGTCTTAAAATGGTTTTTGCATAGTTTGCTCCATGTTCAGCATATAGAAAGCCAATGTTCTCAGGAATTGTGATATGGTTAAGATAATTTGACTGAGAAATGCTTTTAAAATATTTTCCATAAAGAAATAATGTAAAATGCAGTGCACTTTGTCCTAGTATAAGTTTGGGCATTCAATCATATGTGTTAGAACACCATGTCACATAAGTGTCCAGTATGGTTCATGGATTGAAACATGGACAGAAACATCAGGTCAAGAACATGTTCAGGCTGATTCATTTAGTAGCCAACTTGTTAAGTTTGCAGTGTGGCAAACAATTGCACATGATAATTTTTTTCTATTATTTGGCACATGATTGTGGTGAGAATGAGTTATTCATAACAAATCAGCCAATAGATCAGCAAGCCAAAGCTCACTGAAGTGGAATGCTGTCATAATGACCTAAAGAAGCTGTGGGGTCATGGATATCAGGAAATGAAAATTGTGGCACATATCAGATGTGTCTTTCCATGTTGGGGTGTCAGAAAAGCTTGGCAACTTAAGATGATCATTTGTAACTTGAAGGGGTTAGGGGTTTCAGTTTTTATTTCAGCAGAACCATAAGAGATGTCCTGGCCTCTCTGGGTTTCAGGTAGCTACTCGTGCTAAATATTTATCCAGTTTGGGAAGATTTAAGCAAATTCATGGCTGCATAGATATGCCTGGGATTCACAAGCCTGTGATACAGTTGTATTTTTGCTTTGCATATGTTTACTAAAACCAGCCTAAGTTTGTTTTTACACTGTGCCTGAAGTTAAATATAGGAAATTGGCATTACTATCATCAACATGGGCTTATTATACCTGTTCTGAACAATGTTAGGTCCAGGTATATGTTCTTACCAGTCATGGTCTCCACCTTGCCATTGGGCAGTGTATTGAAACAAATTCTATGAAAAAAGGCAGTGCTTATCCAAAGGCTTGCATACAACTCTCAGTATATTATGATTTGCACAAAATTTTAGCTTTCTGGCTGTTATCACATGATAGGCTAAACAGTTGCTGGATCCACATAGATATGATTGAACAATACATGTTTTGATAGTTATAAGGTAGAAGTCATGTTAAATAACTCATCTAAAATGATTGTTCATTAGGGGTCAAAGCTCTGAAGGGTATTCAGTAGGGAGTTCATGCTTGGTATAATGAATTTGAGAAAGCTGGTGTGTAGGCAGGATCATACATGCCTCATCTGGATACATGAGCTAAAATTTGACCCCTCTGATGTCATCTGACTGAGGCTGTGGTGGAGACTATGGTTATGTGCTGTTGAGGTCCATGGGCATTTTTTCCTGTCTTCATTTGAAGTTTGGGAAGCTGTGGCATCTTAGTCTTTTCCATAATGTTGTGGTATTTTTGGCAGGACTATGTCTGGAGTTGAGGGCAGTGAGCCAGGTGGAGCCAGTGGTGGGCAACAGGAGCGCTCTGACCCAACTGATGGCGCTTATGAATGCAACATCTGCCTGGATCAGGCACGAGATGCTGTGGTCAGCATGTGTGGGCATCTCTTCTGGTAAGTTTTATGCTCTCAATCACAGTAAGTGCATAGTAGAGCTGGCTAGAGATTTGATAGGCCTCTCATCATAGTTCACTTGATGTATGTTCAAATACTTGCTGTTACCCTGCAAAGTGAATAATGTGATTTGATATTATCAATAGTTGTGACATCCATTCCATTCCATCCACATTGAACGCAGCTCTCCTTGCATCCATTTCGGTATAAAGGGTCGTTCCAGCCGTGCTTAGCGCCATTGTGACATCATGGGACTTGAGCTGGCCATGTGCCGCGCTCAACGCACGGCCGCTGTGGACACGGCTGACCAGCGCCGGTGGGCCGTCGCCAGCTGGCCATGCCTGCACACCTGGCTGGAGATGCGGCGCGCCAACCCCGTGTGCCCCGTCTGCAAGGCGGCCATCAGCCGAGACAAGGTGATCCCGCTGTACGGCCGCAACAGCTCCAACAAGGACCCGCGCGACCAGCGGCCGCCGCGGCCGGCCGGCCAGCGCACAGAGCCCGAAAACCAGGTACGGCTCGCTCGCACGCTGGTTAGGGGGTACGGCGGCAAGGTGTAAAACCGGACAACTAGGTACGGGCCGCTCACACGCGGGTCAGGGGTACGGCGGTAAGGATGTGAAACCGGACGAACGGGTAGGGGCCGTTCGCACGTGAGGTAGGGGTGCGGCGGTAAGGTGTAAAACCGAACAATTAGGTACGGGCCGCTCGCACGCGGGTTAGGGGGTACGGCGGTGAGGTGTGAAACCGGACAAGCAGGTGTGGGCCGCTCGCACGTGAGTTAGGGGTGCGGCAGTAAGGTGATACATGAGAGGGGGCGTAGATGATAATTTGGGTATGAGAGACCTTGCAGTCAGGTACGGACCGCGACAGTCATTTATAAAGTTTGGCAACTAGGGTGTGAATTGGACAAGGGACAGAGCTGGTAGTCGATAAAACTCGCCATTCCGATACTGATCGCAGCTCCCATGTATAATGGGTGACAGTCACGCGTTGTCACGGTAGTTGGACCCGGCACACGATTATTGATGCCGGGCACGAACCGTAGATGTGGGACGCGACGCAAGGACCCGTCTGGAACCGTGTCGGCTTCCTTGGCAAGCTCCTCCTTGTTGACATGACAACAGCTGATGAAGGTTGGCCGTGAGGTCCTCGTTAAGTTACGCTACTGTTGCCAAAGTGTTCTCAGCGTGCAACAGGACCACCCCGGTCGTCCCTCTGATGCATGCCTCACCGCTCCCCGGTCTCACGCTACAGGGCAACGGCTTCGGCGGTCTGAACTTCGGCGACACCAACTTCCACATGTCCTTCGGCATCGGCGCGTTCCCGCTCGGCTTTTTCGCGTCGACCCTCAACTTCGGCGGCGAGCGACTGAACCCCCATGCTGGTGAGTCTCGGGAGCTGGAGATCGGGTGCCCCGCGCGTTGGACGCTGTCGCCGGGTGTGGTGCGCCGCAGAGGTGCCTCCTTACGGGACGCATCGGTCTGCTCACGTGAGACCGTGTCGAGCAATTTAAGACAGAGTCTGTCCGCATGGTAGGTGCTCGTGGCCAGGTGATCACCTTACGCTTGGTATCGTTTCTAAGAAGTCTGCTTATGTTGCTTTTAGTTTTGCCGAGTCGTAGTTTTTCCGTTTCTCTCGTGATAGCTGGGTCGGAATATTGCGTTGTTGCATGCGCAGGGCGATTGTCGAGCTATGTTTCCTGGGCTCGAGATATCAGAGGCTTCGCCAACCAACACCATAAAACCACACACGTGTGGTCGTCGTGATGCCCATTAGATGTTCGTGTGAGTGGGCTGTGTCCTGCGCTCCCATAACGACGTGAAACTGTGCGAAGGAAGCTCGTATTAAGCCGTTTAGGTGTTCACTTCTGAGGTCCTATGTCCTTGAGTGACCGAATAGCTCCTGAGCCGTCTTTGTCATTAAAGGGAGCGTCACACCCTTCATATTTATTTTTAAAAATAAATGCTATTGGGAATCTCAGGTCTGTTTAGTATGATAATGGCACCAGGCAGCTCCACCGTAGCGCCATCATGATATAATAAGAATGCATTTTTGATTTTGTAGTCTGAATGACGCTGTCAACGCTTTGTAATAGCACTACACTTCTTCCTTTCTTGGTAACCCCAGAGCGTATCCGAGCCCGTGACAACTGCAGCTGTGCCGTCGTCGTCGACTTGACGATGGCGGAGTCTGCTGAGGGCCGTTGTCAGCAGTTACGGGTTAGAGGTGCTACTTTTGAGCTGTTTTAATCCGCACATTACGGACCCGTGGACTTAAAAGTGGCACTTCTACTGGTATGGATGGTGTCAGCACAAAGGAAGGTTTGTGATTGGCGTAGCGCGCGGCGAGGCCACTCACCGAGAAGCGCATTGGTTGAAGTTTGAACCAGCGCGTCGCTAAAGACCATACGATATCCGTTTCCCAAAGTAAAGTGAGCTTTGAAAGGAGTTGCCGTGCTAAACGCCATAGTCATATAACTAATTTCAAAGTATGAGGAGAGAAGTCAAAGCCGTAGTGTAACGTTTCGTTGAATTTGCGAGATGATTGACTCCGATTTGCATGTATCTGTTTTTTCAAAGAGCCTTTCAAGCCTTTGTAGCAGTTATGACACAGACATTGTTCTTATAAATTGCTGTGTTACAAACGTAACAGCACACATGCGGGTAAGAGCGGGACAAATCAAATGTACTACTTTCATAGTAGTGAGCAGGCAGGCCAACGATATTTTTTCCGCTGGAGCTTCTACTTCAAAGCGAAACCCTGATCTGTTCAGGATTTCGGGATAACTGGTGTATCTTTTGATGTCGGATGCATCTGATATAACAATAAGTAATAAGGTACAAACAGGTGGCGTACCCCTTTAATTATCACAGCTGAAATCTTACAGGACTGTTAGGTTTTAGCTGCGCTAATTAAAGGTGTCTGCTGACTCCAGCACGTTATCACCCTGGCCACTTTGCTGTGACGGGTGCCCTGCTGGCCAGTGGTCACGAGCCAAGGCGACGTCAGTAACCATTAGTCCATGAGAGTTCACTGGCTGCTGGTAAGGGTGGCTGCAGGAGCCCGACCTCGCGTTGACGCCTGTGTCGTCCGTATTGCCTGTGTTCCAGCCGCATTCTGGCGCGGTCGGCCGCTGCTGAACGGCCAGGAGTGCCGTATCGCGCGTTCCCGTACCCCTGTGTGGGTGGGGCGGGCGAGGGACTGACACGGGCGTCACCTGATCGGTGCCGCGGAACGGCCGCTTGGTGGCGTCATCCAGTGCGTGTCACCGGCTGCAGGGCGGCCCGTCTCCGAGCGGCTGAAGGTCCGCCGAGCCTCCTCCGAGGCCCGGAGAGCGCACGCAGTGGGGCCGCCCCCTCCCCCTCCCTCTGCCCCGTGGGCCGCGGCGCTACAGGTCCGGTATCTGGGTCACAGGCTGGCCAGTCCCCCGTCAACGCCAGAGTCTCATGGCCAGCCAGCTCAAGTAATAACGAAACCTCGTCTATACCCGCCCGCCGTCTGTTCGGCTCGTTTTTTGCGCAAAGCTTGGTAGGCTGCTGACGTTCTGGTTGGTGTCCCCAGGCTTCCAGCAGGGTCAGCAGTTCCAGGCCGACGACCAGATGCTCTCCAAGGTATTTCTGGGTCTGGGCATCTTCTGCGTCATCTGGATCCTGTTGGCAGTAGTGTCACTCCGGAACGGTGCGCCTCGGCCGGCGCGATCAGCACCGCCCTCTTCTATTCATATCTGTGTCGCGGCCGAGCGGGGCCACGACAGAGCCCGCAGTGCGCGCCGGCTGGCCGCAAGGCAGCCGGCTGGCCCGCACCGGCGCTGCCCGCGGGGCGACAGGCGACCCTGCGCGCCGGCCGCGGCCGCCGGTGTTGACCAGCTGTGGAACCGCGCGCGCCCATCACTGTCGGCCTATGCGTATATTTACCGGGAATATCACTATGTGTGTGCTTGTGGGTGGGGTATGTGGACGTTGTCCCTCTGCAGGGGTCGATGCTGAGGTGGCTAGCGCGAGCTGCTTGCGATCACGACCGGCATGGGTGTAGACTGCTGCCGGGCGGGCGGCCTCACAGAGAGGCCTCTAGCTGGCCGGCCGGCCGCCGGCCCAAGCGCGCCACCCGGGCGCCCCAGAGCTCAGCTTTATCGTCTGGCCGTGCGCGTGTGCGTGTGAGGCGCGCAGCCCGCCTGTGGACGGCGTCGGTCGCGGGTGCTGCTGCGTAGCGGGGCTGGCGCGCGCAGGCCGCTGTTGGATGTGCCGGGGAGTACCGGCGCTCGCAGGCAGCGGCTGCTGGTGTTGCGCGTGCCCTGCAGCCGTGAGCGGAGAGCTGATTGAGACACGATTCCAGCCGGGACACGAGTAGAGGGAAGGAGGGGCAGATGGACACCGTCGGATCGCGGTGCGCGTCTTTAAATAGTAACACTGTACAGAGCTGGGCTAGAGGTCCGCTTGCTCCGTTGCGATGGGGGCGAACTGCTCGTCCTAGTATGAAATGCATTTGCTAAAAGATACATTAGCGCGGTGCCAGTAATTGGGAAAAATATCGCCGATGAGGGATTATGTTGGACACTAGTGCTATGGTAGGTTTGTGTAAGGAGCTGTTCGTATCGCATGGTATTTGAATTATATGTCTACGTTGAATGTCTACTGCCCAGCTCACTGAGTGTCTTTGTGCAGATGACTTGTTACGGATATATGCATATATATATATATATATATATATATATATATATATATATATATATATATATATGGTAACTTCGTCGTAAATAAATCTTACACGACGTCCAGTGTATTTTTTTGACGATTTTCGTCCCAACAGTCCTAACTGGTTCGTTTTGGGACGCCGTCGCCGACGTTGATAGACCTCTTGTTTTGGGCGCGTATCTGAGGCCATGCCGGTGGCAAATATTTTGGTATCAGTGTTTTTATGGGTGGAATGTAAAAAAGTAAGAGATTTTCAAGTGGCGTCGCATTGTTTCTCAGCGGGTTTGTTTAGGGTCGTGCATGCCATGCCAGTTTTGTACCCACCTGGAACAGACCTGGGGCCAAAGCATTTTTATTGACGGGAAATTATTCTGTTTCATCGGGGTGCGCTCCCGATGATCATACCATATGAGAGTACCATGACAACAGACAAGATTCTCAGCAGCATGCGGCGTGGGACTGGGGAGGGCATTGAAAGCTCACGCCAGCGCTTGTGTTCGGTGCCAGTATTTTGTATTCACACAAGGCGCGTCTCGGGCACAGCTGGGGGAAACAGGTAGGCTTAGGCCGCATCGCTTGTCCGCAGCGTTGTATTTGGGGGTCTGCTGAGCGTGTCTCCGCTATATCGGCTGTGTTTCGTGTGCTGCAGTCGAGTAGTTATCACGCTCAAGGCCCTGGGATAGCGCGGCCGGTGCCGACGCCCGGCCGGTCGGTGACCGACCCCTGACGGCTGGATACGGTGGGTCAAGGGGTGCCGGCGTTCGGGGATCACACCGGTTGGGGTGGGCTGATTTCGGGCCGTGAGCTCCAGTTGGAGGTGGCTCCAACACTGAACTGTCCATTCATAGAAACTTGCTGTTGATCAGCCGTCCACACTCCCCGTAGGGTAACCTATGGGCACTCCACGAAATAAACGCCCAACGTGGGACGGATATTAAAGAACGGGCTATTATAAACAAGCCTCAACTACCTAACGACCCAGGCTCGACTTTAATTGAGCTAACGATGGGCCATGGTACATTTGCATACTGCGCCGTTTGCCCCGAGCTGCTCGCGGCCCGCACTGGCGAGACGCGCCAACGTTGGACGGGACATGCTTGCGATGTCACCAGTCCAGATCACATCTTGGACAATGTATAGGTAGCACCGACTGGGAAACTATGAGAGCACAAGGTTAAAGGCTGGGAAACACACAGCCACTCACATCAGCGATGGGTATTAGCTCTCGTGATTTCATTTCAGCGTCCGAGAGGTTATGCTTGAAATGACGCGTGACTTGCTGTGCGTCATAGGCGACATAAATGCATTGTTCAACCCCCGGGTCAAGAACGGAACCCTTTCTTTGACTAGTTGTGCCACGGGGTATTGCAATGGGTAGGCTTCTTGCATGTGGCGCCTTTTGCAGTCATAGGAACAGGCACAGGAAGTCACGGACCACCAACATTTCATGCGTTTAAATTTACCAAGTGTTAACGCACGCGAAGAAATCACTGAAAAGGTGTTGGTTTCGCCTCACTTCGTACATCCATACACCCCTGGCGGCCTTTGTTGCAGCATTCATCGCTTCCCAAGCGATGTCAATGTCCTCATCACCATCACGCCAATGCCTCCTCCGAGGACCATACGCCGTCGCTCTTCTCCCGCGGCGTCAGGCGCACCCGCCAGCTCGCAATCCTCACTCGACGGCGAAGATAAGGCGGCGGTGAGCGGAGCGTGCGCCGGCCAGTCCCCCGCCGTTCGCAGTGCAGGCAGGATGTCCCGCGGCGGGAGAGCCAAGGTGAGTCGCTTCGCGAGAAGCCAGTGGGGCCTGAGCGAGATGAGCGGACACAGCGCTGAGAAGATGGGCCGGGTACGAGGTTAAGTTCCACAGTACAAGCACGCATGGGCAAGTGTAATGGGCAAATCAGGGGTGCTGCTTCCCTTTCGGCTTGGGGCTTCAGCCCCCCCCCCCCCCCCAACGCATTTTGCAAGACTACGTACCCCGCCCCTCCCCCTCCCCGGGGCAAACGCAGCGTCACGCGTGATAAAGCTCTGTCGTGTTGCTGAGTAAACGCAGGGTGAAAGTTTCGCAGCCAAACTCCTTAAAGACACGCGTGGTGGCGTCCATTCGCTGCCAAAATTTGATCCTTGAAGCTGCGAACGTGGGACTGCGCATTGCGCGCCCCCACCCCGGCAGCGACGATGTTCGGCGCGCTTCGGTTTTGCTCTCGTGTTCGACCTGGCCACAAGTTACATGCGCGCCTGCGGCTGTTGACACCCGTTTTATCGTGACGTTGCGCAAGAGGAACGGACACGATTGCTCGGTAATAGGCGGGCGGACGGGGGGGGGGGGGGGGGGAGCGGCCACCGCCCACCGCGCAAACAGCCACGGAGCGGTCGATGGCACCCGGTGGCAAAACACGGCGAGGAGGCCTTGACCGTCACTGGCCGAGGCCAGGCTTCCTGCAATGCCGCCCGCCGTCCGTGTCAACTGTCACGAAGCAACGTCTGAAATCAAGGTTATGGTGCATATTCAAATGCAAAAATATCGTTATTTGGGCACCTTCGGTTTGCTGACACCCTCCCTGCTGATTCACGAAGGATTCATCCGCATGGCTTTCCCGACTATGCTTTCCCTGGTACTGCACTCATTATCTGGTGAATAACTTGAGTGAATAACTCGTGCGTACCCGGCAAGCTCACAATTGTCGTTGTCGCAATCGGAGCCGCCTGGCCTATCCCATACTGATGTGGCGAGCGGACGGAGGAACAGACGTGACGGAGTTTTCCCAGGAACTGTGCTGTCTGGCGCCGGCTTCAGTACAGAGCCCGCACGTTGCCTGCCAAGCGCACGGGTTAAGTTGGATACGGCTGCGGCTCGGGATATAGGGGCGCTGCCATGAACCGTATGGCGGATGCGCAGGCCAGTGTTTGTTTGGGCAGGCCTCTGCCGCAGAGAGGCCTCAGCAGGCCCTCCGATTCGTTGTGGTCTTGGCGAAGCATCAATTGCTTTAGAATGCAACATTACGGATGTATGGGTTGTTTCCAGTGCAACAACAACCTACTCCTACGATAGAGCCCCAGCTGAGTCAGTGTTCGAAGAAACCCTGTAAACGAGAGGAGGTCCTGACAATAAGGATCCCGTTTGGCGAAGATCAGAGGAACGATGAATCAGAGAAGGTCCCGTCCTGTGATGCTGTTGGCTCGGGTGGTTTAAGTTCGTGGGTCGACAGGTGGTCCCCGCCTTGCGTGTCGGGTTATGATGTGACGCTGAAGCAGGGGTGCGGTAACTGGTGGGGTGGAGGGGGGGGGGGATGCAGGGGGCTGGACTTCCAATTTGCTGAAAGTTAAATATTTGCCCTAAAGCCGTTAATTTGAAAGAAATAAACAAAGCTGGATAGAAGTAGAAGAAGAAGTAAGGGGTTGTCCAAGATTAAGAGGGATGGGCTTAGAGGCACCTTGAGTTGTTTTTTCCATGCACCGCTACTTATTTTCCCAAATCCTGGATTGATTTGATCCCCCAACTCCAACCTTCCCATAACGTGGCACTTGCCGTGCCTCCGGATGGATACCGGTCCTCCTAGCTTAGAGCAGTTCCGGCGCCCGAGGGCAGAAGGCCCCCTTCGGACAAAGAGGAGCCCCGACCATCTTCAGGAGCAAGTTTCTGTCTCGATTGAGAGGAGGTCGTTGTGATTGAAATATACTCCTGGTTAACGGGAGCAGTCCTCAGCAAGATAGGGTTAAGTGATGCGGACGACTCAGTTTTTATTTAACTGTATGAACACTGGCTTCGAATGAAATCGCAAGATGCCACGCGTGTTTGATTAGGTTTTCAGTCATTAGAAAAAAGGCTTGGCCCACATGCACTTCAGAAAAACGGCAAATGACATTTTATCGCGAGGAAACCAAAGTTACTTCGCCGGGGTTCCTGGGAAATGCATACCCGCATCTAAGCCATTGTATTGCGGGGCAGCTGCGGGCATAACCAAAATCATAACGCATTAGAAGACCAACTTGCCTGCTGAGACATATATATATATATATATATATATATATATATATATACATATATATATATATATATAACATAAGATAAATATGCAAATATAAGATATAAATATATGAATATATAAATATATCACGAGTCCATTTATCTTATTACAATCCAACCAGGTAACATATGTTTAAAAATTTTCATATTATGCCATTTTTATCAATGGACCAGTGCTTCAGCAGCTGAAGTTGTGCCAGAAATGGTTGCTTTGAGGACGGCTGATGCAATTCCCGGCTGGTGTCATTGCTTGATCGACCGACATTGCGTCAGACGTGACTCAGGCTTCGCTCGCGACAGACATGATTCAGACTTCGCTCGCGACAAACATGACATCTACAGGAAAAGACGAAATCATAACAATGCACGAGCACACATCCAAGACCTACAGCTCGGGAGACAGCAAGCATAGTTGGTGTGAGCCTTGCCGCTGTCAGCCGGATCGTGAAGCTAAGGAAGGAGACGGCCTTTTTCCTCGAAAAT